AGATGACAGTTGCAGGTTTAATTCGGAGTCATTATCATCTAAGGTAGACCAATAATACAGGCAAGGAGGGCAAAACTCAACTGTTTTTAACCTAGAAATAATGTATATAGACAAATCAATGGCTCTAGAAGGCTAAAGATACAGTGATACAATTTAGACAACTTTTTCCAATCTGAATTTAAACTGAAAAGCCGCCTGGAGCTAGCCATGAAGAGTCATCCATTCGCTATAATCATACACCAACAGTTCTTAAACCTATTGCTCTCTATAGCACAAGAAAAAGAGTGTTTGGGTTTTCAGAGAAGACTGTCCATCTCTTTTGTTCCTAAACCTTCGGATAACATTTCATGTCATAGTCCAGAACTGAGAGCGGGAAGAAACCACTTATACTGCTTCCTACTTAAGCTGGTGCTTCAGTCACCGTGATGGGCAACTGTCCATACGTCTTTTCTCAAGGCGACTGTTTTCCAGTAATAATTTTGCTCTTTGTCCATTAAGTTCTTAAATCAAATATCAACATATTTTGCTCTTTTATCAGAGACCAGCTGAGAAATAACCAGAAAAACCTCTGACACTATCAGTGATCCAAGGTTTGCATCTTGTTTTTACTCATACAAACAATATAAGTATATTCTAAAAATTCAAACAACATAAAAGTATAAAATAAAAACTTAGTCCCCCCCTTCAACCTCTCCCCATAGAATCTCTTCCTTCAAATTAATGGTTTGATATATAACCTTTTAGATGTTCTTGTATATTTACATAAACAATTACTGTTTGCTTACTTGTTTTCTATAAATCAGGATCATAATACAGTTCTATTTGCTGCCTTTTCAACCTATCAACATGTCTTGGAGACCCCCGGACCTGCAGACCTATCCCAGTGGCTGGCAAACCACGGTCTGTGGGCCAAATTCCGCCCATCTCCAGTTTTTGTAAGTACTGTTTTACTGGGACACAGCCATGTTTATTTTTTATGTCTTATCTGTGGCTGCTTTCATGCTACAAGAGTCGAGTAGTCAGAACAAACACCTGACAGCCCGCAAGCCCTAACACACTCACTGCCAGTTTCTGCAGAAAGTCTGCCAACTCTTCATCTAGCCTACTCTTTTTAGCATCGGCCCAATATTCCATCTAAGGAATATACTATATTTTATTGATGAATATCTAGGTTCCTTCTAACGTGTCCACATTATGAACAAAGCTGCAATGGGTAAAAACCAAGGATAACACTCTGAGAACTCTCTTTATAAGCCATGGTGTAAGCAGCCCGAGGAGGGTGCCTGGCACACACTGCTGCTCAGTAAACACCTGCTGATGAGCTGCTTGTGAATGAGCCAAAATACCGGACACAGTGTCGTGCAGAATTCGGGGAACTCATCTTTGTTGAATAACTTCCTTTAAGTTCAGGAACTCAAGAGTATAATTATTGGGAGTTAAATGTAGAAAATAAATCTGGTTTGAAGTCAAAGATTTCCTAGAATATTCACGCAGCTCTCTCCTTACTAGAGCAGATGACAGAGTGGAAGCCATTTCCCTCCTGGATAAACAAATATAAATCAGAACAGTTCACTGATAATGCAGATGCTAAAATATCTGAAAATTCTCCACGAAGATCCTTTAAGTACTACTTCTATTGTTGAAGTTTATTCAGTTATCTCTCAGACGTGCCCCTTAGTTGCTACGTTCTCCTCTTTCATTAGGCATTCTATTCATTTGAACCTTTTAATAACTCTCAACATCTTCTCTTGCCTGTGCATCCACTAACCCTTCTTCATGGAGGTTTACTTGCTTACGTGGTGTCTATTTTTTGTTTTTTTGAGGAAGATTAGCCCTGAACTAACATCTGCTGCCAATCCTCCTCTTTGTGCTGAGGAAGACTGGCCCTGAGCTAATATCCGTGCCCATCTTCCTCTACTTTATATGTGGCATGCCTACCACAGCACGGCTTGCCAAGCAGTGTGCAGATCCGCACCCGGGATGGGAACCGGCGAACCTTGGGCTGCCAAAGCGGAACATGTGAGCTTAACCGCTGCGCCACTGGGCCGGCCCCAATGTATTTTTTATTTTAAGCTTGGCTTCAGCTTTATAGGACTTTTCTTCCTCCCGTGGGAAGCTCTACATAGCCTGGTGTGTCACAGTGACCCTCGGGTGCACAGTTCTGTATTGACTTCAGCTGGAATCCCTTGGGGTCTCATCATTCCTAGGCTGGGATTTCACTAAAACTCTAGTGAAGACATCTTAGTTTGGGGTTCTAGTACATACAGATGGTGTAAATTCAGACCCCAGGTTCACATACGAGGGAGAGTTCTCGCTCAGGATCCCGGGGGGAGAGCAAGTCTCCTCACTGCTTCTGAAGGCCCAGGGCATGGATGCCACAGTCTTTAAAGCTCTTGATTTTACTCAGGGGTCTCAGTTCCAGCTCCCACTATGTGCCCTGAGGCCACATATCCTCTCCCCAACTGGGAGAGATGCTCCATTGTTCTGATTATGCGTTCCTTCAGATAACTTCCTTTTTGCAGGCTCTGTTATGCATAAGTTTTTTAAAAAATATATTTTATCGAGCATTTTTATGATTTACAGCCGAAAGCAGGTGTTCAGTCTGCTTTACTGATGAAGATCTCTGAATGTCAATTTCATCCTGCCAATCAAAAAATACGATCTCTCCCTGTTTTTCTCTGAGACCAGTGCTCCCCAAATGGAGAACAGGCACTTTGTAGGAAGGATGCAAAACAATCCTTTGGAACGCAGGAGGAAAATTCTACAGCTCTCGTTTACATTGACTTAACCTAAAAGAGAGATGGAGTTAACACACAGGTTGATGTGCTGGTGCCTCACTCCGACTTTCTGTTAGGCAGCCTCTCGACACAGGACACTAGAGGTTTCTTGAGAAGACGTCCTCAGAAGGCGGGCTAGGGATGTGCAGTGGTGGTGCCCTTCCTCACTGGCTGACTTTCAGCATGTTGTGAGGGATGCAAATTTACAGCTCAATTAAGTGAGCTTATGGATTATATTTAGCTTCAACTGAAATAAAATGAAAAAGAGACTGACACAAATTCCTGCAAAGAAACTATGGATCTAAGGTACCATTAAGAAGACTAATAAGTAATTAGCCAACAAGAAGATGGCAAATCTGACTTCTCTTCTCCCTAGAACGAGCTCTTTCTAACTACAGTATCGGACACACGTGTAACTTTTACATTAAATATATATACCCTGTGAGCAGGCTGAAAGGTTCTCAGGATACATGAACACACTCAGAAGCTCGGGGACTCCTGCCCTCGGCAACCAAGTCACCTTGGCACTGAGAGGAGACTGTCCAGCGACTGAAGACTAAACTGGAGACATTCAACCTGTGTCCTAGGAATGAGTCCTATTAGAACCTGGGCTTCACAAGAAAAACGCTGGTGGATCCCGGACAGTGAGTGACAGGCTCTTGTTTCCTAGAGGTCACACAAAACGTATTACTACACTGGAGTAAGTTCTCAATTTCCTGGTAAGTCACACAGGAAGGAGGACACAAATGTGCGATACATCTGCCCACAAGGATGCATAAAGATTCAGACGAGAGCGCCCATCAAGTTTGTTTTTTTTTTAAATAGGACAGTAAAACTAATAGGGGTGCAGACAACATCTGGCCTATAATATATCCATAAAAGTCATTTTACAAGAATGTGTGTGATAAGTGCAGTCATTTAAAAAGTCCCCAGAGCTGACGCGTGGAGAAGACAGGCTGTGGACTAGGCGCTGGCTGTGACTCCACTCGCTCTCTTCTCTTCAAGAAAGCGAGTGGACATTATTATTGCAGTAACTTTAATCTCCTCAAATAAACTTTTAAAAACGTCAAATTTCACAATGTTAACTATGTTTAGTAATTACTTGGGATGCTCCACACAAATGACTGAAGACAAGACAATGCCATGACATCATGGTCTGAGAAGTGCTTCTTGGGGTCTGAATCAGTCACGATTTTGTCTGAACTGGTTACAGGCATAACATGACGCCAATCACCTCAGCCTTCTGGGTGAGTGGGCCGGGACTAGGGTGCTGGACCTCCAGACTGGTCACTTCTGACCACAAGCAGACTCCTTGATTCACCTTGGTGTGTGCTATGGATATTAGTACTTTCTCTCTGTGCAATAATAAAATTTTGAGACATAATGCCTTAGACCAGGGGTCTGCAAATTAAGGCCTTTAGACCAAATCTGGCCTGCAGCCTATTTTTGTACGGCCTATGACCTACAAATGATTTTTACATTTATAAATGGTTGAAAAAATAAGTATTTTTAATGTTTTGTGACACATAAAAATTACATGAAATTCCAATTTCAGTGTCTGCAGATGAAATTTTCCTGGAACGGTCATGCCATGCTCACTGGCTTGTGTAGTGCCCATGGCTGTTTTTGCACTATCATGGCAGAGTTCACTAGCTGTGGCAGAGACTGTGCAGCCCACAAGGTCTAAGCTATTTGTTATCTGGTCCTTTACAGAAAAAGTTAGCCGACCTCTGTTTTCCAGCAGCTTATCAAAACCAAGAACCATGCTCAGTTAACAGACTCGGCTTGAAGGTGGTTTTAAGCAGGTCAGCAATAGGTCAATACGGAACATCTTTGCACACAAAGGTACTCTCTCCCTTGGCAGCCACCACGTCTTGATGTTGGTAAATGGCCAAGCACATACCAAAGCACCAGAATAAACAATGAGCACGTAAGACCTGACAAGGGACGGTTGGGTAGCTTTAGGGTTTGAGGCTACAAGATGGTTTTGATGCTGACACAGATTTTTGGAATAGGCAGTGGCTTAGGGACAACAAAACAGCTCATTTGTGATTCAGGCTGTCTGAAATAACAGATAGGCTGTATGTTATAGATCTAGAATTTATGTCTCCAGTGATATTTAAAGAAAGCTAGAAAAAAGGCTACTTCTCCACATAGACGAGGAACAGATAAGGGGACAGGAAGCCAGAAATGAGCTTTCCCGAGCCGAGAGCCCCATCTTACAGAGAGAAGCGTGTCTCTTACTCGCACAAGTGTAGGCGTCTTTGTTGGTGAAAGGCTTCAGACACTGGCTGCAGCTGATGGGACCCACAACAGGAATGGAACTGAAAGTGTGCCCATTGAGAGCCTTCTTGTCTTTCTCCTTCTCTTTAGAATCTTTCTCCTTCTCCTTAATTTTATCCTTCTCTTTTTCCTTTTCCTGCCAAAGAAAAGAATCAGCAGTTAATTGAACAGTAGATGGCCTTTCCTTTACCTGGGCACCCAGATGGCATGTGGTCCACAGTGGGTGGTGAATGTTTTGGACAAAAGTTAGGAACACTGTTCTGGACCAATTTTTTTATTCTATTAAGTTGTGAGCATCCAAGCTACATTAGAAAACCCACAGGAAAGATTGGGCAGGCTGAACAATTCTGTCAGTGGCTTATTCAGTGATTATATGGACAGACAAAACACCCAAGGACCAACACTGGAAAGAGGCTTCTGGTATTTGAGGAGGAGTCTGGCGTAGCCATGCATCCTCCAGTAAGCCAAAGTACAGCCCACACAGAAAGCAAGCAATGAGTTTAGGGCCAGCTGCAGGCAGGAGCAGAAGAAAGGAGGGCAGCAATTCTGGGACCAGCCTGAGGGAGAGGAAAGATGACTGGGCAGCACGAGAAATAAATCCCTTTGAGGTTCCTCTCTGACTTCCTCACACCAGTCACGGATCCCTGAGTGAGGGCACATCTGTTTTCTCCTTTACTCTAGCCAGAGGTATTAAATATCCTCCACATAGACATTTTCAGTTTTTACTAATCAGAATCTCAAGGTTCGTAGATATTAACTTTGGCCCATTTTTTAAATTAGAGGGAGGAGGAATTTAACCTCTCAAAACTTAAAGAAACACTGATGAGGGCTAGACCCTTAATAAAACATCTAAAGCAGTCAGGAGCATTTCCGGGGCGCACTGCTCCTGGGGGCTGGGACGGTGGGCTCTGACCATGCTCTCCACAAGAGGTCCTTCAGAGAAGCACTGTGAGCAGAGCACCGGGCTGGGTGACCAACATCAACTGATAATTTCCTTTCAAACTGACTGGACCATGAACTACAATTCACAGGTAGGAAGAGTGCATTCAGTAGCTGTCATGATCGCTAACTTTGGGGTACCTATTTTCCAGGGAATACAATACTATTGTAATCCAAAAACATTCCTCGGAAAATGGGTACCCCAAAGTTAGTGATCACCTCAACTACTAAGCACCTTACACTTCCAAGCAATGCCTTCTACACACGTTATTCCATCTGATTCAATAACTCTGAAGGGGGCAGGGTGGGCATTAGGCTTCCCATTTTACAGCTGAGAAGAACAAGATAGTAAGTAAGAGCTAAAATTTGGAAGAGTTACTATGTGCCAAGCACAGCAGTAAGCACTTCACATGTATTTTCTCATAACGACCCAATGAAGTAAGTACTAGTTGTTATGTCCATTTTTCATTTGAGGAGACTGGTGCTCACAGATGTTCACTACTGCATTTGAGGCCACACACCAGCAGCTGCCCAAGCTGGAATTAAGATCCAGATCCGGCTGACTGTAAATGTCAGCTCTCATTAACTACTCTGTACTGCCAAGGGCTGGAGAGGTTTGTTGACTCACAAAAGGTCACACAGCAAATGATCAGCAGTCAAAATCAGAATCCAGGTCTTCTGACTTCCTATTCAGAACGCATCCACTATACTGAAATGGTGAATGATTGCTAAGTCTATGATTCGTGTGGAGTCTTTTGTTAACACTATTAATAAAAATCTAAGAGCCGAACTACTACACTTTAGAACTACTGAAAATAACAAGAGGAGAAGGGAGAAAAACAAATTACTTCACTTTACAAAACAGGAAACTGTTCTGAGTGAAAAATTAGTAACCACTAAAGTACATATAACTAACAAAAGTCAGTAAAAAAATGGAATGTTTTCAAATAATGTTTCTTTTAACTAAATTGTGCTGAAGGCTTCTCCATGCATAAAACGTTAAACTGAAAAGCCTCTGACTTTTTGCTCCAGAAAGCTCAAGCATGCTCTAAGAGTTGAAAAAAAATCTCCTACGGCAACTAACTCATTCTCTGAAGCCTTGCAACGCTCTTTAAATAGGAATAAACAGTAAATAATTTCCACGTTCTGTGTAACAATCCAAACTAGTTCTTTCAAGGATAAGAACAAAACACAACAAGAAACTGCACTGTCTCTTTCTGAGTTGATTAGAATTTAGTGCTTTAAAGAAGCGAGGCTCTTACCTCCCCATGTTTTGGTCCCATGAATCTCACTGATATGAGGGGTACTTCATGGAACGGACCCCATTTGACCGACATGATGCGACCCCCATGCCAGGAGATGTGTTGTCACAGGAGGAGGGGCTCGTGCGGCGGGGAGCAGCCCAGCAGCCCTGAGCTGCCATTAGAGCAGCCGCAAGAGGAAGCCAGGGACTGGTTGAGAAAGGGAAGGAGGAGGGCTGAGGCCTCTTGTTTCCTTAAGACGAGCTTAACTGTTTGAATGCTGCCAGGAAAGCCAACGAGCCTGGTTACCAAGCACACAGGAAATGAAACCAAACCAATGCCCCAAAACATTGCTTGTATGGACGGTGCTGAAGATGCACGATGGAACTCTGGTCAAGGATTGAGGCCAATTTGTTAACACGAAGTTAGGCAACGCGTCTACTTAAAAACAGAATCCTCATTTTCTAAAAAGAAGTAAGCTTCCTAAGAGAACTTGTTAGCGAAGTTGCTTGCGGTAAACTGGTGAGTGGTTGTTTTCGGAAGTTTGACTTTTCTGTGTTTTAACAACTGCCAAAACACTCTATCTGTGTGCTGGGGAAACAGAAGCTGAGAGTATTTAAAGGCAAAGATGCAGGCAACAACTACACTAGAATACTACGAAGGAAAATGACTTCTCACTTTCCCAAACCTACTGCTTCAGACAAGGAATTACAATAAAAAAATCAGAACGCTCTGGACAACTGGGAACCATGCCATGATTAAGCAACCGTCACACTGCAGATGTTTAATCAGAGAATGAACGAGACAGATCATTATAGGTAACATTGACTTGAGCCTCTGCAAACACTCCTTTACTCCAGCAGGCACTTTGGTGGGTTCTGTCCTCCTTTACACAGACCACAGGAGCTAGGAGCCGGGGCCGAGCGCCTTAATTTACGTAGCATTCTAGCAGCTGTGCAGGAATCTAACTCTTGCACAGTCCAAAAATGCCTACTTCGAGTCATATTAAGAATTTGTCTACAACATTTCTAACCGTCCCCTAGTCATCTGTAAAGAGGAAAGCTTAGAAAAAAGAAACCCAGAGTGACAAGATGGTTTAGAGAGGGTGACTCGGCTCCCTTCATGAAGGGGAACGTTATGCACATTCGTGTTTAAATGCTCTGTAGCAAGCAAACTCACTCAGGAGGAAACAGTGCGATCTCTCGAAGATAGTATAAGACAAAAGCAGAAACAGCCAGTCTTCCTGTCAGACTTCCTGTTTAGGCTCTCCTCTTTCAAAAAACAGTCAATATATTTGTCTAATAACTCACGCCAGGTACTGATAATTCTCGAAGGACACGTGGAGGATCAGTACTCAATTTCTCAAATCCTATATATACATTACCCAATTCTACAAGCAAAATTTATTACCCAGGAATGTGAACAATTTGGTGCCTTGTGGCTGACTTCTGGCTCCTTTGATTATTATTTAAGAGCTGTATGTTAACCCAATTTAACGTATCGACTATAATATATCTAGGTTAGTAACTATAAACTATTCTATATGAATACATATATAATAATTAATTATAAGAAAAGGAGGAATTTCTAAACCATTACTAAGAATTGGAGGTGGCAATTTAATACAATCTTCAGTAAATGTTTAAAATTTTCCTTTAAAAGAAGTAAGAACAGTTAAATTGTACAAGAGTGATAAAAGTAGATTAGATGATCTCTAATAGCATCTCTTTAAAAGATAATTTAAAAGAAGTAAAAATGTATTATTTGCATTAAAAAATTAGTGGTAACATCTATAGCAGCACTTTCAATTTTTTAACATTATAGAGAAGTAATATTATTCAATAGTTAAGAGAAACAGCAGAGTATGCATCATTATGCTATGAAAAGTTAATATCCAGTTAATTTTCACGTTATCGTTTAGAGAATAAAACATTCATATATGGTAAAGCTCCACTGTGGGCGCCCGGCACATAAAGACAAGGTATTTAATGGAACTTAACACAAAATGTATTGATTACTAGCTTCCCTGCTTCTTGCTACCTTCTGCTATGTTGACAAAAGCCGAGCTATCCCACGGGAAGTTCTAAAACAACCTTATTTAAAGTTCGCTAGTAAATTACGAAAGGTGACTCAAACTTCCTAATGTATTTGGTCACTGGGGCACTCTGAAACACTTGATAATGTGAAACGGACTGCAATGCATGGTTACCGATTTGTAATTTTTTGAGACTTTCCATTGCTGGACACAGCACAAGCCCCCAAAGATCAAATCTTGCAGCCAAGTCTGAAAGAGGAACCAGTCTTATTGCAAAAGAGTGTTGTCATTTTTGACAAAGGACATGATCAGAGGCAAGAGGTCAAGTGATATGGTTTCTGCCAGTGCTGACAGACTCTGCTCTAACACAAATTACCTTCTCTTCTCCTGCCCTTTTCTCTTCATCCTCCGACTAGCAAACTCCAGTCCTTTGAGATAATTAAAAAAGTTAAAAAGAAAAAGATACTGTTCAGTAACAGATTCTGTTTAAGACTGAGCATGAAATGAAGAGTAGTACTTTCTGGAAGTCAGACCACAAGAGAGTTCTGCCTTAATATTATCTAGTTCTGTGACCGGAAGCACATTTCTCTGTGCTTCAGTTTGTAAAATAGAGGCTGGCATGAGGCTTGTTTAAAGGTCAGGCTCCAGTTCCTAAATCCACTCTTACACGCTGTGTGCATGTCCGTCCGCATGGTCTCATCACCGTGATCAGTGGAGCATTCACTGCGCAGCCCCGAGGGTCAACGTCACTGGGGAGATGAATGGAAAGGGGACTCTTCACTTACTGACTGTCTTCCTATTCAAAGTTCGTTTGAAGAAAAGACTCCACAGTTTAAAAACAAAATAAAAAACAAGAAAAACATTTTGAAACCATCCAAACGGATCACAAAATTTTTCCAGGGAAAGGCCATGAGCTTCAGTTCTTTCAGCTGCTTCTTAGCACCTAGCAGAATGCTGAGACCACAGAAGTCACCCACCAATACTTGGCTAATTTATATTGATCTTTCCAAGGAGGTTTTCTTTTGTGGATGCCAACCAGCGTCCACGCCAGCAGTGGTAAGTAAAATAGACAAGGCTCTATTTTAAGCCTTGCTGCTAATACGTAGAATGCTGGGAAGCATTCTGCCCTTTTCAACCTTAATTCTTTTGAATTAGAAAATAAGGCTAAGTATGAAGTTAATATTTAAATAAGTGATTATTCCAGAAGCAACTTGCTAGATTCTTTGCATCTTCTCCCGTTTCTCCTGATTGCCCATTTCCGGTCCATTCTGCACACGGGCAGGAAAAATAGAGAAAACACAATTCCGGAAGCAGGTTTTGTGGAAAAATCCCTCTGAGTGATGACCAAATCTAGCATTCACTAAAAGAAAGAGCTCCTATTTACAAAACTCTGTAAAATACATTGGCTCTATTTCCTCCAGCCCACTGAAGTGAGGGCTAAGCTGCTGCTTGTGTTTTTTGGGGGTGGGGGAGGAGGAAGACGGGGAGGCGCAGTTTTACAACAATATTCTTGAGTTCAGTGTTTGTTATTTCCCTTACTTCAAGCATTTATGTACCAGTGTGTATGTATATACCCCCCTACACACGCATGCACGTGTATATATAGTGATTCTTTGGCAAGAGCTCTTTGATTTCCAGGGTTTTTTTTTCACTTCTTTCTTTCATTGGAGGTTGTGTGGAGGGTGAATGGAGTGTAGGAAGTGGGAGGCAGAAAGCTTTTCCCCACTGATGTGAAATGGAATCTGTTTTGGTTTGGCACTGGGAATCAGTATAAGAAAGTCAACTCCTTTTCTTTCTTTCTTTTCAAAATACATGGGAAGAAAGATTAGGAGAGTAGCTATCTTTATGTGGGGTTACTACAGGTGATTTTTACTTTCTTACTTTTGAACCTCTGCCCACATTCCCACAAATGAGGTACCCCACTCCTAGAAAAGGGAGATAACATCCACCTTACAAGAAGCGGAAAGGATAACATGAGATAATATATGGAAAGCTCTTAGTATATAAGAAAAACTCAATTAGTGGTACTACCTCTTGTTGCTATTTTTCTTCAAATATTAGGCTATTTCGGAGAGTATCTCTAAATTTATTTCCATGTGTCCCCATTGTTCAATTAGTTTGTGGGTGATACAGGCTGCGACTGGAGCCTACTGATGACGAACTGAGTGGTCACACGGGAATGCCACGACCGTACTTACTTTGCTCTTCTTACTGCTGGACATTTTATTCTTGATGTAGCTGAACGTACGGCTGACTTTTGTTCCCTTTATCCTTTCAAAATCCTTCTTGGAGGGGCTTGGTGGCAGGAAGTCATAGTTCTCTTCTGTTATACTAAGTAAAAACAAGGAGATTTTTAAAAAAGATTACAGAAGTTAATTTTTAAAAGTTAACACACCTTATATATAATTCTTTCTAACCCTCATTGTCAGATTTTAGCCACAACTCACAGTCAACTTATATACTCATGTGAAAATGGGAAGTGGCATAAGAGGCTCCTGAGAGGTTTTATACAATAACATCCAAGAATAGAACGTCCCACAGTGCCCATGTTCTGCTGCCAAAACCTGGCTAACTTTTCTTCTTTCAGTTATTAACATTTGACTAACAGATTTTCAGTGATCTGATGTTAATTGGGGCCTGTCAGTTGTTCATTATTTTATCTGAAATTTCTGAATCTAAAATAGCACTCAATTTACAAATGTCTTTGCATCAAACAGGTGCATGAAAAGAAACCCACACATTGATGGAATGACCGACTTGCTAATGAAGGTTGCAAACCAGGAATTTTCGTGACTGAATGCACACGCAACGTCCCTAATAGCAGAGATCACACTGTGTTTAGTTTGACAGCACGCTGGACAACCAACGCCGTGGACTGGTGAGGCAGGCATACCGAGTTTTACTGCACTTCACTTTACTGCACTTGGCACATATTGCGTTTTTAAGACCTTCCACCAGCAAAAAGATCACAGCTCGCTGAAGGCTCAGATGATGGTTAGCATTTTTTAGCAATATTTTTAAATTAAGGTATGCACATTTCTTTTAGACATAATGCTACTGGCACACTTAACAGACTACAGTATAGTGTAAACATAATGTTTAATGCACTGGGAAACTATCACATTTGTGTGACCTGCTTTATTGTGGTTGCCTGGAACTGAACCCTCAATGTCTTCAAGGTGTGCCTGTACAGCCATGCAGAATTTTAGGACGGAATATACTGAATGGCAGGCAGAATTAAGGCAGAGTGTAGAAAGATTCATTTTAGGAGTTCCACACAGTCCAGATGCACCAATCCACTTGTTCAGGAAGCCTACATAAAATCTAAGTCCATCCACGATGGACACACTTGGACCTTAGCAAATTCACAAAGGTTCATTTCCTCAAGGAACGCTGGGCACTTGTGTATATAATCCATTATACAGAAAAGCAATCTATTTGTACTACTTTTCCTAGGTGTTCTAGAACAGTTAGTTTAGAACCTTTCCACCGAAAAGTAGTGTCTACCTCAAGGGCCTCTGTGAGAGGGCAGACAGGAGCACAACCACGAGGGTCCTCCTCAGTAACAGAAGTCTATTTATAAAGCATTGTTTACAAAATAAAGCAGTCTGTTACCAAGATAAAGGGGAAATGGTCTAACAACCACTGCTCCAGAAAGGACAAAAAATAAATAAAATACGACAGAAGTCCAAAGACAAGTATTCATATTAAGAGACTTCTGCATCACCGAGTCATAACTGATGACTTTGTGAAAAGGAGGGCAACTTAAAAAAACTGCATGGGACGGGCTGGCCCGGTAGCATAGTGGTTAAGTTTGTGTGCTCCACTTCGGTGGCCTGGAATTTGTAGGTTTGAATCCTGGTCGTGGACCTACACACTGCTCATCAAGCCATGCTGTGGCGGCGTCCCACATACGAAATAGAGGAAGATTGCAACAGACGTTAGCTCAGGGCCAATCTTCCTCACCAAAAAAACAAAAAAAACAAAATCCCACCAAAAAAGCACACCAACTTTAAAAAAAAACAAACTGCAGGGCAAAATCAGAACACCAATTATGCTTAATTGGAATATTTAATCCCACAAGGATGAAAAGAGGAATCTAAAAATAAACAATGAGTGAAAACAGAAATCTTTTGCCTGCTTCAAGTAAAGAACCAACTCACTCACTCGGACAGAGCTGTGTACTGTATCCATGGACACAGAAGAAAATAACTTTTAATTAAAAAGGATATAGCCTTCATTAGAAAACGACTTCTAACCATTATTCCAAATTTATCACTCAAAGAAGTAAGAATCCAATGAGCTCAGTGAACTTAGTTTCCTTAAATGCCAGAAGACATTTTGGATTTCCTTCCCTTCACCTGGGGAAAAGGAGGAACGAAACAAACGTACAGTACCTCTCAGTCAGGTTGGCACTGGTGCTGTGGAATGGCCGCGAGTCTAGGAAACAAGAGCGGCAGAGGAAAAGTTAGAACAAAAGGGTCTCAACTGATGACAGAAAAAGTGCTTACAATTTTTACGATGACACAGAGAAAGCAGAAGCAGCATGTGAAAGCCAGTGGGGGGTGCCTTCTCCTCCTCAGGGTTTGGAAGAAGGAAAAATTAAACACGAAATCCTCAAATTAGAACTGGAAATAGGCAGCAACAGGGAGTGAATTTTCCATGAAAAAAAAATTTAATCCAGGATTCAAGTAACTGAACAAACCCCAAATCACTTTTTCTAAGTTCAAACAGACATCGAACATGCTTAATTCCCGTTCTTAGCAATGTTCCGTTTCCGCAGGCCATCTTTCTGAGAGGACGTGACAGGAAGAATATAAAACAGGAAAAAACTAAATGTCATACTTTGTATGCTGTTAATTTTGTTTTCATATATTTCTATACTAAAAATCCAGCTAATGGACACCTGGTATTTTCCTGAGCATTCTCGGAAATGGTTTAGGGAACGGGAGAGAGCATCAGAGCTGCTTTATAGGGTCTCGGCCCTGTCACTAATTTGGGGTGAGATCTGTGGATTTCACTTCCTCATCTCTGAAATGAGGAAGATAAAACAGACGCTAGAGTTCTTCCCAGGTTGACACTGACAAAACAAGTTTGGCAGATGCATTCTTCCTCCTTCCATCACCATGAAACCATAACCTGAAGCAGGTCATTAGAACTAAGGCTCAGTTGGGGGCCAGCCTGGTGGCGCAGCGGTTAAGTGCGCACATTCCGCTTCAGCAGCCCGGGGTTTGCTGGTTCACATCCCAGGTGCGGACATGGCACCGCTTGGCAAGTCATGCTGTGGTAGGCGTCCCACATATAAAGAGGAGGAAGATGGGCACGGATGTTAGCTCAGGGCCAGTCTTCCTCAGCAAAAAAAAAAAAAGAGGAGGACTGGCAGCAAATGTTAGCACACAGCTAATCTTCCTCAAAATAAAAAAACCAACAAGAACTAAGGCTCAGTCAGACAGCAGGGCAATAAGGAGAACAAACAGCAGGATCAGTACTACTATTTTACCTATGACTTGTGAAAGTTTGAGCTACTTTCGAGGAAAGCCTCAACCACACAGCAATAGATGGTTCCCGACTTTTAGGAGATCAGGTATAGAAATACTTTCTGTGTACGGTTCCAGGCAGACAAAGGATGCTCGGCGTAACTACCGTTATAATGCAGACAAAACACACTCCTTCTCTTTCGGGTTGGTTTCAAGGATCTCTGAGATTACTGCTAGTAAAACTAATTTGACCGAGATTTGGAGATGTTCCACTACCAGATTACCAGCATTTGAAACTCATAAACTCCCAAATTGTTCTAGATTCTGAATAGAAACGTGAAATTGTACTTATTATTAAGTAATTTAAACAGCTAACAGGTGGCATTAATGCATAAGAAACTTAAAGACGAATTCCTAGTCTTCAAGATTGCTTTCTACAGTTTTTCCTTTTACTTGAGGCTCTTTTTCTATTTCACTTCTAATGCATGGTGACAACCACCAGGTAAGAGAGAAAGATGAGCAGAGTAAGAATAAGACCTGGGAACTGTCCCTCAGCTCTGCATGATCGAGGTGTGAAATCATCAGCATTTTAACTTCAGGATGCCTTAACTTACCTAAAAAACCAAGAGCGTGGTTTAGATCAGTGGCTTTAAAACTTTTTCCACCCAAGGAGCCTTGAACGATACAGGCGGCATTAAATTCTCTCACACTGCCAGGATTCCGCTGTATACTTAAGCAATTACCTACTAAGTTACCACCCTAGTAATACGAACAAAATGAAAATAAAACCCAAAATGAAGAAAAATACCAACCAGCACACAGCCTGGCCAAAATAAGCTCCCAGCAGGTTTCTGTTGAATAAATTAAAAAGTGAACAAGTGTGTGATTGACTACTGGGAGGATCTACGACTCCCATAAGGATTTCCAAGTTTTCCACTGCTGAAAACCTTTTAATTCATTTACTGTGACCTCTTAGATGTAGTTCCGAAAGCAGTGATTGATCTACCAATGCCTCTGAAATTCCTATGTGTCACCAAGTTTTCAGAGCATCTAAGAGCAGAAAATAACCAATGTTACTTCCATGATATAATTACAGACAAAAGCAAAGGAATCTGTCATTGAAGTTCCTGCGAAGCATTATTGCAGGTAAACAGCATATTTCAACCAGACGTCTTTTTAAAGGCAAGAAATAACCTGCAGACCTAATATACTACATTCCAGAGTTACAACTACTGGAATGGGGACACGGTCAATATTTTTTAAAGTGTGTTCCACGGAACACCAGTCTCATGAGATGTTATACAGAGGCACGAACATACTGTAGTTTCATGGTTAGCAAGTCTGAGAAGCACAGTATATTGAATATGGCCTTGGAAACTGACAAAGTACACAGGAGCATTTGAAATTTGCTTTAACCCAGAGTTTTCTCAACTGATTTGGCCATAAACCAACCCCTTCTTTTTCTTCCTTCCCCCCGGCCCGCTAACCTAATTCTCACTGATATTTTTGAGTTTAAGGAACACATCCTGAGGATTGCTGGATACTCGATTCAAATGTTTTCAAGTTTCTATACTTTTACTATTTCATCATGTCGGATTAATCGAATAACCAGTGCCCTTGTGACTTTATATTAGTGGTAGAAGAAATACTCCTTTACCTCTTTTTTGCTGTGCTGACCTATTTCCAAGTGTATTACAAATCCTTTGAGATGAAACAGCCTTGAGAATTTCTGAACACTCAAAGTTGAAAGTGGATTTTCACAACTTCTCTCCTATTACAACTGGTGTAAAGTGAATATCGTGTTGTGTGGCTATTTACCAAACATCTTTTAATTTTGAAAAAAGTACTGAACATAACACCTCCATTTAAGGGAAATTAACTGAACTTTGTGTTATTGTGCCTTACACTTTCCTTTACGAACAATGCAAAACTGTTACCCTGAGCTTAATATTGCTTAAATATTAAATTTTAATATTTAGATATTAAATAATCAAATACTTAAATATTGCTGGGAAACTTAGAGTCAGCAAGTGCTAGGGAATTACAGCGTTCAATCATGTGGATATTGTCATTGAGACTCACTGAGCTATGCGAAATGAAAATTCATTATTTAAACTTTGTATTAGACACGGTTTTTCCATTAAAAGTAGCAATCTAGAACGTTTTAGAAATTTTCCACAATTGAGAACAGTGATTTTCATGACGAGGAGGAATCATTTCCTTTCCAAGTTTACTAAAGCTGAAACCTACTGGGTAGAGAATAACAGAAAAAATGGGTAGAAAAAATAAAAGTTCCAAAGGAGGGAAAGTAGGAGACAAATAAATATAGAACTCCCACCCCCTCATCCCTGGGGTCTAATCCCAAAGGAAAGGTATGTTTTAAGAAATGGTCTGAAAAGGTGAGAAGAAAAAGTTTAACATTAACTTTTAAATACCACAGATGGACCTCTAGACACCCATCCCATGAGACAAAAAAGCAAAACAAGGAAAATGTGAAGTTTTGTGAAATTAGTCTCCGTATGACAAAGGGTACAAGGTGGGAAAGGAGCACACCCTTTAGGCCTTTGAAGATATTTGTGTTCTGGGACAATATCTCGTGCCCTGGAATGAGGTCACTGGATCCGTGCAGTTAGTGTACAGAGGACAAAAAAAAGTGTTTACCCCAATTAATTTTCAAAGCAAAGCACGAAGACAATGATTTAGAAATGACGGCATGCAAGGGGATGAAAGTCCCCAACAATTTCTTAGTACGGAGCCTACAGCCTTTTCAGTGCTGGCCAGACCCCGGAGAGCAGCCAGTGGACACCACAGCGGCTTACTTACTACGCAACTCCTCATCCTCATCACTGGAATAGGAAGAGCCAAGAGAAAAGAGAGTTTTAGACTTAAGGAGGAGCGGAGAGATGCTGACGGAGAAGGAGATGCGTCTTGCCGGCTGCATCTGCTGCTGGGCTGAGAAGTGGTTAACAAGACGTTAGAGCATGCACGACAGATTATACCGGGCCAAAAGAGAGGGCATCTGAAACCCACCCAGAAATGAACCAATGTCACTGGCCCGCATGGTTCCAGGAAAGGCTGTCTAGGTGAACAACGTAATTTATTCACATTTTCATCTTTATTCCTGAACATGCGGAACTCTAACGCAACTTAAAAAATTCATCCAACGAATGCATACTTGTTAGATTATGAAAAGAAGAAGAAAATTATTTTTAATGGTCATAATTTATAGCTGGGATTTTTTTCCCTTCAAAGTGAAAACACTGGAGGAGTGGTGGTCCTCAGGCTTCCGAATTTGACTCTCTTCTCCCCCCCCCTGAATCTCTTCCTTCACTCTCACCTCCTAAAGTACAGTCTTCATACAACATACTGGTGACTCACAACTTTCTATCTGCAAGCCAGATGTCTTCTTTGAGCTTAAGAGTCATTCACCTCACTGCTCACCTGGGGGTGGATCTCTCCCCGGCGGCTCAAACTGAACAAGCACAGAAGTGAACTCTCCTTTCCTCCAGACCTGCTCCTCCCCGGCTATTTGTTTGTTTGGTGAGCGGCACCTAACATCTAACTAACTATTCAAAGTGGAAACCTGGGTACCATCCTTGAATCCCTATATACATCTCAACCGTCCTTTTGACTTTGTCTTCCAGAATTCTCTGAACATCAACTTCTCCTCTCCCACCACTGCTCTAAGCCCTAGTTCAGGCCGCCATCTGCTCTCATTTGAATCCTGCGATCGCCTTCTACAGATCTATCAGCCTCTCCTCCCTAACACTTTCTTCAGTGTGGTCTCTCAAGTATTTGAATCAATTAATTTAATTAACTTAAATCACACCACTGCCCATAGACAAGAAGCCCAAATTCTTTCAGTCCTGCTTTCCACACACTAGCTCACCTTCTTCCCTGTAAGCCTTCTCTGACGCCTCGAGTCTGATGCTGCTGTAACACCCAACGTTTCTCTCAGTTGCTGCATTTATCATTTTCTATTATATTCACCTGTCCTCTTGTCTGTCGGCCTAAGTGTGGTCAGAAAAGGAACTGTACCTGTAAGTTCATCCCTCTCCTACTGTGGTCTACCCTGGTGCCTAGCAAAGAGCAGATACTCAAATATTTATTGAATAAATAAACAAATTAATAAATAAACTGCCCCTTGTCAGGCTTTCTGGAAGCTCAACATCCGAAATTAAATGAAGGAAAAAGCCCCGGACCTGCCCAATATGAAAGCCACTCCATACCCCAGATGAACGCTGAGTGATGGCAGATTGCTGTCCACAGCCACTGCAAGTGACAGAGCTTGAAGAACTCCTGGCACAAATACATGCACGCTGGCTTTTTGGGTAGCGACAGTCCAGCACAAAAGTAAGACGTTATTTTAATGTGTGTTCTAAAGTATTTGCAAATGTGAGGCAAATTCAGGAAATAAAAATGAGCTCTGTTATTACACAAAATCTAAGAATATTCTCTTCTGTTGCCACAAGATCATGGATCATAAGGAAAAATCTACTTGTATGAATATCTAAAGAGCATTCTCAACATATATGGAAATCTCCAACATATATGAAAAGAATATGTTCTGTCAACATAGAGATGCAATTTTAGAAGTACTCAAATTAAAGTATATATACAAATAGATATACAGTTGTTCATTGCTTAATGACAGGGGTACATTCTGAGAATCATTCTGAGAAATGCGTCGTCATGCGATTTCGTCATTGTGCAGACACCATAGGGTAGACTTACATAAACCTAGACAGTAGAGCCTACTACACAACTAGCCATACGGTACTAATCTTATGGGACCATCATCATAAATGTGGGCTGTTGTTGATTCAAACGTTATTATGCACAGGACTGTGAGCGTGTGTGTATACATATATTTAATGAATATGCATATATTCCAGGCTTGGAATTTAATCAAAAGACCAAATATAAAAAGTCTGTTTGCCCGATTAACTTTTTATTCTGACATATCTGTCAATGTTATCTTCTCCAGACAGAACTACTCTAAGAAAATACATATATTCCAATAAATTCTCATCCCACTGTCCACAGTTAGACACAGAGAGAAAATAAGCCCAAAAAGTAGAGATAAAACATCCTCATTAGCATTGATGCCTAACTTTCCAGAGGCCCACCCTGATCTTTGATCACATGGATCGTTTGTCCTTTTAGATCCGCTGCATTCTAGATACGTAAATGCCACAGGTCAGCTCTCAAGACTGATTTAGCTTTCAGTCTAATCAAGCTACGCAGTCCTAAGCTGGTGTGCCCATCAAAGCACGCACAAGGAACCTGGCTAACGCACACCCCGTGAGTGCAGGTGTGAGGACGATCCCAAGGACAGGTGCCATTCGTGGACACCATTCTGTGTGATAACAAACCATGCAAAATGAAGGGGAAATGAAATCTCTTTACGAAGTCTGAGAGGTTGCAACATCTGATGGGCACCATTCCCCTTGCAACATTCCTGCCACTAATGCGCTTAGAGCTCTTCCAGGAATACAATCCAGCAGTTTCTCTACTGTTCGTAAGCATCTTCTGGGTGCCAACAATGAAAAGTTAAAAAATACAGTCCTGGAAGGGGATCGCTTGTAGTAACTGAATTATCCTGTATACGCAAAAACGAAGTCTATTAAGTTCTGTCAAGAAGCCATCTGAGTTTTCTGCAAGCTGGGAGTCTGCTCTCAGCCGCCTCTGATGCAAGAAGGAGAAACATGGTGCACACACTTCCTGGCGCAGTTCCTCTGAGAGCGGGCCTCCCCGACATTTTCCCACGATAAAGGCAGCATCAGTGCTATTCTGATTCCCTAAAACATGAGCCAGCAAGATGCGCTCATCATGCTTCCCCCATCAAGACAGCAAATCGAAGAGTTGACCCGGGACCGCTTTCCTGCCCACTGTGGTTCCTAAATAAGCTGTTGCCGGTCCGCTTTCCACCCCAGAAAGCGATACAGAAACATTTTAGTCACCACCTTTGCTCAGTATTTTCCTCCACATCAATAGATTTTTGAAACAGATCCCAGCTTAGAAATAATGCTATGAGTTTGTCTGGTTTTCTAATCTAGCAAATGACCTAACAAGACATTCCAGACAACAGCTCAGTGGACATACATTTTCAGAAATGCTCAAATGTTCACAGCTGTCAAAGACTGTGGAGGAAGCAGCTAATTTCTTTAAAGCAAGAAGACAGAATACAGGTAAAAGCTGGAAAGTAGTAAAATAAGGATGATTTTAGAAAGTATTTTGTTCCTAGGCAAGCATGCTCATACGACACAGCCACTTAATACAAGGAGAGACATCGTTCTCGTCTCTTGAGCATTGCTTAAGCTCTGCTCGGAGAAAAATGGACCCTGGGCACTGGGAACCACCTCACTCCACGATGATAACGAATGCTTCTTATAAGTCAGGAAATATGCGAAGGACTTTAATAAACTCACGTTTAAGCCTTATCACTTTATTATCCCTGTTTACTAGTTCCAGTAATTGAGGCAAAGTTTCAGGGCCCAGCCCAAGGTCACAGAGCCACCACATGTGCTTACAAGAAAGCACTGGTCAGAATTCTTTAAGCGTACCAGACACCTTAGGCTTGAAATCACCGCGTAGATTTTAATTATGATACTTTCACCTAGGAAGACCATGATCAAAGATGCATCGTGCAGAGTATGTAAGCGATTTGGAATTGCAGATTTGAGTCTGTGGCAAATCAAGAACGACCCAGCTATCCTAAGCTTCAAGGCACAGCACACAGAAGTTTCAGTCTTCTGTTCAACGGCCAGAATTTTAACATCTGCAAAAGGATTTATCATGTTCCTAGAGAAGAGTAAAAAATACAGTTGGGAAAATTCATTTAATTATACAAGGGGAGGGACCACGGAGAAAAGAGTCCTTAGTGTTAATTAGTCTTCCAATTATAGTATATGGTAATTTAGGGAAATAAGTGGGGCCAGTTAATTGATTTATGACCTATCATTGAAGCCTGCATGAAAAGTACCCTACCGGTTAGAATGAGGGTGTCCTATTTTGTTGAAAGGATCAAACGTTCTTCTTGACAGCAGTCTACTACTGATTTCAGATCCCCTCAGTGAGCTGAGCAGAAAATCTCCCAGCAACAGAAAGAAAAGCTCTCTGTGCCGGAACTCCTGGACTCTAGGATGGCGCTTTCTGGGAGCTGGCTGCATTATTTATAGTGTTTGGCTAGCAACTGAAAACACAGTCAAAAATCATCCTGCTTTTCGGAGGAAAAATAATGACGTGTTTCACGCATGAGGCAAACTATAGGAAAAAGCTCTGCCTGTGGGCCACACTCTGGTGGTTCCGGGCAGTGTTGCTAAAGGAGGAGAACCCCCCCACACGACAACACTTGCTCGTCACAGAGGGAGGCACCCAGGGCGGAAGGGTCTCACTGAGGAGTGCTTTCCTGTCTTTGAGCTCCAGCACTCCGGGCTCATCAAATCCACTAGAAACTGTTTTGTTATAATAATTTTCACTCTATAGCAGCAAAACCTCCAACCCAGAGCCAAATCAAAACAAAACCAAAACTCAAGCAAAGACAGGAAAAGCTATTTCTGTCACGGTTCTGTGAGGTCATATCTGCATTTTTAGAATAAGTCGTCATGGGGCACCTTTAGTCATACAGGCCAGATTTGTGTGTGAAGTATTAATCAGACAAAAATGAGGACAAAGTTAATAGAATCATCCATTCTGTCTTAATTCCACTGTGGAAACTGAAAAGATAAGGCCTCTAGTAAGTCATAAATTGAGACAGAACATCCCATTAATGCGGGGCAGCTACTTCTGTCCCCAACCCCTTTAAACTAAGTTATACTGGGGACACTGAAGAGACCCCAGAAACAACAGGAGACCTTATTTAATCCCTTTGCTTCAGCCTCCTGAATACATGGTCTGTCAGCAAAGGATGTATTACTCCCCCTTTAATGAGAATTTAATTCTTTATATCAAATCTCACCCTGCAACTACTCACGAAAAAAGTATTTTAAAAATAAAACAGAAAAAGGGAGATTTCTGAAAGAACAAGGTAGCTGCCTTTCCATGGCAAACATCTGGATCCAATTCAAACACGTGTATGAGCATCTTTCATTTACGAATGCCCTGTGCTTATAGACGCCAGACATCTGTACAGAAGTTTCGTGGGCAGTGGATCCTACATCCGCATGCGGTTCCTCTGATCACTTTCAGATGTACCCCTCTCAGCATCTGCTTAACTCACTATGTCTTTGTCCTTTGTGAGCTGAAGACTTCTGAAGAGCTCAGTAAATTAATACTGGATAAAATCTGCACAATTGTACTGTGGTAATATAAGAGAATATCTTTGAGACATAAGAGCACTATGTCTGTAACTTACTCTCAAGTGTTTCAGGACAAACTTTGAGGGAAGTGACAGAGAGAGGGAGAGAGACTGAGAAAACAAGTGTTATGACAACATCTGGGGGCTCCAGGTGAAGAATATATGGTAATTCTTTGTACTATTTTGAGAGACTGAAATTATTTCAAAATAAAGAGTGTGTCAGGTTTAGGCCCAAGAACATTATGAGTTTAATATATTCAGGAGATTTTTGGGTAGTGAGAGGAGGGAGATCCCATGGCTGAGCTCGATGCTCTTTTGTGTTTAGTGCTGAGCCACTCATCAGAGGAAGAGGCAGACAATTCTGGAAGGTAATGTTACAGGGTCTTAAAGAGAGAAAATGATAGGAAAAGTATTTAAAGTATAATACATTTAATTAAAGAAAGTACTATACTCACTGTCCAATCCAGGATGGCTGATTGTCATTAATGAGACAGATTTTGTCAACGGAGAAGAAATGGCTGACGTACAGTAATTAAATCCCTGTTTTTTAGATCTGTGACATGCCTGTGAGGTAAAAAAGGCAAAGAACAGGTTCTAGGTACATGCTCTCATATTTCTAGACAAGCACAAACTTTACATTCTGACTCAACCTAGGAAAATAAGGCAGTGCACCAGGACGGGAACAGCACAGATTTGCAGTCAGACTTGCATTCAAGTCCGTCCCTGCAACTTGACAGCTGCTCCACTTCCGAGAAGTTACTCAGCTTTTCTGAGCCTTAGTTGTCTTGTCTGTAAAATGGGGACAATTAGAGTATTCATCCTTTACAGTAGTTTCACATCCTTCACAATATCTAATAATGTTTCAAACTTACTAAGTGCTAATAAACCTCTGCTGAACACATAATCAGATAAAAATAATTTCACTGGAATTACCAAACCACATACAGCTCTTGTTCTTTGAAAATAGAAATACCCCTTAAAGAGATAAAGCAGGATACCAGGAATATTATTCCAATGTTAAAGATTTGGAAACTGAGACACAAGTAAAAAGTGTCTCAAGATCACAAGCAGAGCAGGTGCACATCAGGAAAGAAGCCTCAGTCTCCTTCGTTTCCTCTTCTAAGATCAGACTGCTTCTACATGAACACGAGGGTGGCTGCAGTGTGATAACTTAATTCCCTCTGTAAATCCACAGCAGCTTCAAGGCTATGCAAGCCAACGAATTGCAGATGTTCCTGCAATAACACCCCTGAAAGAGAGTCAACCAGTATTTACCAGCGCACTCTAGTGATGAGGGACTCCCTGCCCTTTTGTTTTGAGAGAGCTCATACTAATTGTTAACTGACTTAATGCTCATAAACCCCTTCCCTTCATAGTAGACTGAAATTTGCCTCCTGAATTGCACATGTTGGAAGGGAAGCAACGAAAATCCGTTACTAGCATCAACTTGGCTCAGCTGCACCGAAGACCTCTGATTATTTAGAGCTTGTTCCACGTGTAACCATGGAGTCTGAGGCAAACAGTTGCTATGTTTCAAATACAACCGTGAGGTCTGAAAAATGACCTCAGTGAGAGGCAGAGACCTTCAATAGGAAGTTGGCTGCAGGCAACTTGTCCAGATCAGGGATACAAGCAGCTGAGACACCACTCCGAGGCTGCACACAAGACGAAAAACTCTGGGTAAGCAGAGTGCCAGGAAGGCTAACGCACAGCAAGGCACTCAAATGTTGACAACTTTACTCAGAAAGACCTAATTAGAAAGACATCAGTGGTAACGAACATCACTTACTAAAAGACAGGGTTAATCTGCCAAATTCCTGGAAATGTCAGTTTCAGAAAGGGTACCATAGAAACAATATTAAGAAAATTAAAATGTTCTCATTTCCTCACTAAAACTCATCTACTTCAAAGACATGGAAAGAAGCAGCAAGACTAATAGCCAGGAATTCTGAATTTAATACTGTTTAGCCAACAGACAGTTACAAGGCCCTAGGCAAGTAACTCAAATGGGCTTGAAGTTCTTACACACAACGGCCTAAGCAGAATCCAAAGAGACAGACAGTTACGTGCCGCATAACATTTTGGTCGACGATGGATCGCATATATGACGGTGGTCCTATCAGATTAGCGCCACATCGCCTAGGTGTGTTCTAGGCTATACCATCCAGGGTTGTGTAACTTTATGATGTTCGAACAACTGTACTGGCTCTTAGTCTATGATTCTGTTCACAAGTCTACAATTTTTGGTATTTTATCTGGTCTTGCAAATGACTTCCAAAGGATTCTATACACATGAAATGCAATTTATTTTTCGGACTTGCTACTTATCAGATGCTCTCAGTAGTCACCAAAGAATTATTTCTATTTTTTCCTCCCTTTTTCTGTTACCATTAGGCTGAATAAATCTAAATCATTTGCTCCAATAAATATAATCTCCATATTCTTATTATTTTTCCTAACTTTTTGTAAATTATCAGGCCAAGATGACACAGGTGCGGTGAGGGGAAAAAGGTGGCACAACTCCTTTAGGCCTTCAGTGTGATTTTCATTAGGCCCCAATTCTCTTAGGCCTTCACATGAGCATAAGTGACCCATTTGTTAGTAAGATAATCCTCCAGTGCCAAATTTACATTTGGTCCCATCATTGCTATGTAGCAGGATGTAATAAAAATTATCTTTCTACACAAAACCTCAGTCACCTATTCAAGGAATAGATTATTTAACATTTTTGTTTGTTTCATTAGAAATATTTCATAATATTTCTACCTAAAACTCCAGTCACCTATTCAAAGACAGGTATTTTAACTTTTTTAACTAGAAATGTTTCATTTGAATGCGTATCCTGGAATCCTCTCAAAAATTAATCCATGGTCTCCTTGGCCCAAGAGGGGGAGAAAGGACTGGGGGTAGTGTAGGATGCTGTAAAAGCATATAATTCAAATTTTCCACTCAAAAACTTCCCAAGGGATTGTCAAAAGTGTTGTGATACTGAAGAGCCTGAGAAGATGTGAACTAAGAAAAAGTCACTTGATTTGGTCGACAAGGAAGTCCATGACTTTCAAGACAGGCGTGTGAAGAGAGTGACAGAGGTGGACACGAGAGATCCTCAAGTGGTGAGAAAGAGAAGGCGGGGGTGTAGATGCTGTCTCAAGAACTCTGGCAGTGACAGGAGGCAGAGAAAATAAACAGTCATTTCTAGACAACGTTATAAGACAAAGAATCAGAATCTTTTTCCAGGAAGGAGCAACTTTGGATGTTTTTGAGAATTGGGAAATTTAATAATGGTATGTATTAACTTCAAGACTCATTTTACTATTGGGGTGGTAAAAGAAGTCCTCAGATAAGAAGGAAAAACTCAATTTAATATCCTGGATACTTTCCTAATTTAAAAAAGTTTGCCTTGATGGAATATTCAAATCTATGCAGATGAATGGTATTCTTCAGTATTAAGTGCTAAAAACTTGCTTTGTGCTAGAGCGAATATATTATATAATGGGTAAGTAATTATAGCTACTAGCCTTATATCAATATAAGTCTTGCCTTCTTTGTTCCTAATATGAGGAACAAAGGACATATTTAGGATATAAAATAAAGATTATTTAGGGAAATCAGCAACATACACCCATTTCATCCTTACCTGCTGATCAAACATCCTATGTTCTCTCTGGCCTGACTCCAGATCCTCTTCTGAAAGTGACATCAAAGAGTCACCCCGCTCCTCACCACTGAAGGGGTGTCTGAGCTCTCTGGTGTCTGCAGAGCTTACTTCTAGAGACGAGGCTGGCTTGTTTCCGACACCAGCTCCTCCTGTCAAGCCTTCTAGACTGAAACTGAACACAGAGCACAAGAGTTAATTTGTTCTATTTCTGAGTCTCAGAAACGAAGGAGGATACAAAAATCCCTTTAAGTTGCATTATTTCTTTGTCATCTAGCAAAACTATTTACAAGGGCATGGCACAAATGAGTGCCACCTACAGGTCTTGGTATGCTAAGAAAGAATAACTATACTTAGATTTTCTTACCTCATTATTTGATAGAATAATGTTGCATAGAATGTTGCACTATCTAAGGTCATTTTCTCCGATTTTTCTCAGTATACCATATAGACAGCCAATATTCCATATTTATCTTATTGATCTTTTATTTATGTTTTTTCCTTGATCTGATGTAATTAATCTTTGCCAGAATATAACTCTGCTAATACCAAAGAATTAAATGGCACAGAGAAAATATGAGCATAAGTAACTTTCAGAAGGCAAAGAGAGGAACTCAGACTTGCCCTTGCATCCATGAAGAGGACCTTTATAACTTCGCAGGTACGCACCCACCCCAGAAAACCCAAGTGTTACTTATGAGCATTATCATCTGTGCGCACCTGGCTGGACAACAATTAGCTGACAGTTTTCCTGAGAATTGTTAGTTGCAGACAGGCACATGTAACACCTGACAGAACAGGCTGAAAAGCTAAGTCCAGAGTTTTAACTTTTGTGTCTTGATACTGACAAAGGAAAAGAACCAATTTAGGGTTTGGTATCTAAAATGGGATCCCTGGAATAAAGATTTTGAGGTTTGCAGAGTGAAGAGCATTTTCTGGAGGCAGGAGGCTGCAGAGAGGGGTCAGCAATCTATCCTCCTCGGGGTGTAGCCAGAATAATTCATATCTGCTACAAGTGCAGTGGAAACTGCTTTAAAGTAGGAAAGCTCTCGAAATAGAGTTGCCGCTGACCGTGTCCTCAGTTACAAGCAGCTGAAACTGTATTTGAAAGTATACTGAAGCTATTTAGTTATCTCTGCTCAAACTGTACAGTTAATTGCTACAAATACTTCTTGCATGCCAGTCCAGAAGGGCTCACATTTGCTTTTTTTGTTTCGTAAATTACTTATTATGAACTGAAACCATATGCCTCTATTCTCTCTAGCTGGTAAATTAAACAATGGATTTTGTTTTCCTTATTCCAATATGACAATAGAAATCATGACTAAGTACGAGTGGATGTCTCTGTAAAGCTCATTGTCAATAACAGGGATGAGAAGACAGGCGAAGTCAAGAAGAAATTTAGTTTTCTATTGCGAATTACTTGTAAAGCCTGAGAAAACCAGATCTATGCTTACCACAGAACTTAATCCTGAAAATGTTTTAGTAATTACATCTAGCTGCTTAGTTGAGAGAATATGAAACGACGAGGAGTCTGTGAATTTGGAATCTAAAGACTGGTTGATTTGGAAGCATAATAGAAATAAGTGCATCTTATTAGCTGCCTTGCTTCTGTCATTGTTTTCCTCAGGATGTGGGAATTCCTAGGATCTGGGAATTAGGACAAGACCAAAACAAAGAGAAAAGTTGTCCATCACACCATGGAGACAAGTCTGTGCAGAAAACACCAAATCTACAGCCACTTGAGACAAACAGGCATCAAGGTACACCATCCAACTCTTAGGCTGTGCCTCTTCGATTGGATTAGTGACACCCATAGCAGAGGCAACTGAACACTGTGCTCACAGACAAAGCAGGCTGCCATATGCATTCCAGCCACACAGAAGCCAGCTCCAAGCCAAAAGCCCAGATGCCATATTTTATGGTTCCCCATTTGGCGGCTGGACATGTAACAATACCATACCTTCTGTAATTAAAGTCAGGACTCAGGGCAGCAGAGTATTGCACACCAGAGGGACACCAGCTCATACTGAGGATGACATCAATGGCAGAAACAGAAATGGAGGGAGAAGGGGAGACAAGGACGGGGTTATTGGGTTTAAAAAGAACGGGCATAGTTAGAGACAGACAGATTTATTTGATCATCAAAAAATTAGGAATGTAACACTGATTTAGAGTTTAGAAAAAGTCTAGAACAAAAACCATGGAAACTTAAAATTGTTCTGTTGATGTCCATCTAGACAACGTGTTGGAAATGACTAGGTGAGCTCTTTAGAAGGCAACAAGCTCAATCTGAAACCCAATAATTCCTTCTAGTGGACCCTGAACAAAGAGCCCACTCCACCTGCAGCCTCCTCTTTGGCGTTCTCACAGAAGTGTTTCGACCTCCACTACGGGGGACAATCTACACATCCCACTGCTCCCACGTCTCCCTTACCATAGTATCTATCACCCTTAGCTGAAAGGAATAAGGACAAACTGCACAGGGGTAGGCTTACTGAGTCTGGAGTTTTTTTCAAAAGTGTTTCCATGAAGGATCCATTTAAGACAGACAATTCACAAATCTTTCAGAATAACAACACCCAGTCAACACTCAAATCCATCTTCAAACCCTACTCACCACGCTCTTATGCTAAACATAAAGCATATAACAATGGTCACATTTCCTTCTATTTTAATGATAATGAAGATGCTTTTTTTAAAAAAAAAAAAAAAGGAATTCTATGGTACTGAGTTAGAAATGTGTCTTTTTAATTTTAGGTTTGTATCCATTTTCCCAAGATTAAAAAAAAACTCCATTTGATCACCTACTTCCTTGATTATCTCAGCAATGATATTTATTCCCAAGTAGCAGGGACAGAAAATCTGGGGTCAGAAATGCTAATAAGTAAATACAACTGCTAAAAAAGAATCATTTCAAAATATCAGGTACTTTATAAAGGGAAGTGACGGGTCAGGAGTTTTGACTAACAAAAGCCATCACTTAAAAATACACTGCTACTTGACATGCCTTTGCTTTTAGAAGCAGGATGAAAACAGAGCTCCTGGACAACAGTAAAACCACTCAGCTCCCTCCTGAATCGTGCAAATGGGAGACCTGCAGACACCAAAAACGCCTATCTTGATCTCATCTAATAACTCTGTTTTGGTAATAAGTGGGAGTTTTTGACAGAGAAAAGGAGACAAGGAAAATGGTGAGAGAATAAATATAAGAGCTACCCCGATGGCTCTTCTAAAAGTAAATTTTTAAAATATTATTTAAAAATAATGTAAATAGTAAAACATTTTAAATCACATTAAATTAACAGTATAAAGCTCACAAGTGCAAAAGCAAAAAGCAGAAATCCACAGCTGAGACACGTCTCTAGTCTGGTACACGAGATCAGGCTGACATCACTCACTGGCGTGAGCAGAAGTGAGCCCTGATGACACAGCTGACAAACACACAAACTCAGCAGTCCATTCTTTGAAATTATTAACTTAATTTTAAATCTCCAAACTGTTAATAAAAAGGCACATTATACCTAAATATCCAACTTCTTATTAAAAACAGAACTGTGGTAAACCAGTAACTGAATATTACCAAATTATCATTCATAAAAATAATCCCCTTCTTCAGATGTAAACATCTCTTTACTCTCAGAAAATGATAATGATGTGAAAGACTTGGACGAAATTTAAGATAAAGAGAATCAAGAGCAACAGAGAGACAGATAATAGCTTTTCCAAGGATCCCGGAAGGAAGCTATGGATGGTCCTACAGCAGCAGAAAAACTGCTCTTCCTTGTAGCAGAAAACTCATTTTGCAATTGAGTATTTTTGAGAGCATCCTAATTTCCTCAGTTCCTCAATTAGTGGAGGAAACATGTAATGGTTCTTTGGTTTTATTTTCAGATCTATGAAGTTCTAGCTCTAGATTTTTAAAAAAATAAATATCCTGTTCCCTCACCTTTGAATACTTGTTGGAATGTTTCAATTTTACTAGCTACGGCTTAATACAACATTTAAAATTATGCCTCAAGTCCTTCCTACAGAAATATGACTACTGGGAAAACTGTAACTGGAGACGTGATGCCGGTTGTATCTACTTGCTAACTTGGACTGCATCCAGCAACCTGTCATCCTCCAGCGTCATCACGTGCTTGTCTTTTAATAAGTTCACATTGAAGAGCTTTAATGGAGTCAGACAAACCTCTAAAGGTTTTAGATACTTCCACTGAAAAAGACATTTAACTACTGTGCCCCTGGAGAAAAACTTACCCAGAGTCATGATTATCTGAGATTCTGAGAATATCTGTATTTGAACTCAATTTTGTGTCTAAACCCCGGAATTAAAGCAAGCATCCACTTGAAAACGACGATGTGGGAAAGATCATTAATTTGCCTGCTTCCCAACAGCTTCAGCTGATAGTTAAAAATACATCTTTACAAATGTCTCCTAATATGAGAAGCTAACAGTAATCTAACCGTCGTTTTTGGATTTCTAAATTTTTTCCCAAACAATGAAAGAAAAGCTCACTAACGACTTCTGAACAATAAAAATAAAACAAAACTCAGCATTTGAACAATTTAAAGCAAATCAGCACTTATTGCAGCCTCAAAATTTTACCTGACAAAAAATAATCAAAGAACTAACAGACTGAGAGGGCCCCTGAGATGGCTGATGCCTCGTACTTACTGTAAGGATTGCTCACATCAACAATGGGATGGAAAGTGCCAGGTGCTCTAGGAATAAAGGCTCTCACCCAATTATTAAAGAATATGTTGGAAATATTGGAGGGCCTGTGTGCAAGCACACACATATTTCTAGTTCTTCCGTTTTTGTTTTTCTTGGAAAGAAAAAGTACTCCCCAAGCTCCATCAGGGAGGCACAACATAGACATTCCTTTGAATTCTCCTAGAGAAAATTGGGTGTGACCCTATTATCAAAGTGATCGGGACACCAATAAGTGAAAGACGGAAAAAAATACTAAAAAAAAAATTTTTTTTAAGATAAAAGTAGAATAGGGAAAAACTTCAGATTGGAGAAATTATTTCACATGGAATGGACATCAGCAATTAATAATTACCTATATTTTATCTGCCTGAAGCAAATGTGACATTATTTAAAAACAGACTGTTTAATAATGAATTAAGCGGAATGAGATGCTTGTTAGTATATGCTCAGAGGCAACACGGTTAGTCCATCAAGTTATTGAACTCTGTACCTTCTCCTATGAATGGGAGGTCTCCTGACAACATCCCCAAGAACTCGCATTGAACTGAAAATGAATGATGGAAGAGGTCAGTGTTGAGGTGAAACAAAATGGATACAAATGCATGAAACACACAGACATCACACTGGGAAGGGATACAATCACCAAAGAGAACAGTACAGGAAGTAAGGGAATGAAAAAATGTGCAATAAGAAAAACATCAGAACCAAAAGGGCCTGACATCTTCTGTGGAGGGCTACTTTGCTCCCTCCTTGCTCCAAGGAGTTAATCAGATGACAAGGAATGAGGCTTATTAAACTATAAAAGTAAAAGGATTGGGGGTGGGGGGGGGAAAGGCCGTTGAAAACTTTAGAAGGGTTTTCTTAAGACTTTAAAATTATGCTATGCAGATAATACTATAAGAATTAGTCTACTTAAACTGATATACTGAACTCTCATTCCATTATCTCCAGAGGTATTGGGACAGTGGTTAGTCCTTAACGCTCCTCTCAAATAGAAGATTCCATGATATTATATGGGTTGGAAATACAAATAATTTGGGTGATAAGGTTCTAGCCTTAGTTCAGTCTTACGATCACCATGTAATCTTGGGCAAACCATTTAATCTGAGCAAATCTGAGCTTTAATTTCCTCATCTGAGCTACATAATCCATAAAGTCACATCCAGCTCTGAGATCAAAGTCATGGCAGAGGGATCCATAGTAGGTTATGAAGTAAAACAGACTATATATAAGAAAACTCTCATTTCTTGACGCTGTTATCATCTAAGACAAGCATGTCCTGTCAGGAAGCTCCGCTTGTATCAAGGAGAAAATTCTGGCTGTAGGGATCACTCCTCACATTCTTATTTTTTCTATGGGTGTGAATGCTTAAAAAAAAAGCACAGCATGAATAAAGCTGGGAAGGAAAGCTTTTAGAAACTGCTTTTATATAATCTAGGATTTCAAATGTTTATTAAAAAACTAGCCAGCAGATAAAGGAACTGCGTATTTTTAAGATTAGCATCCTGAACTCCACCATAGAATAATATAGAATCATAGAAAGAGCACCTGCCAGGAGCCCAGAAACCTGGATTCTACTGACCTTGGGTAAGTGATAAAACTATCTGCAATAGTCTCATCTGCAAAAATGGGGGATAAGACCCCCTGACTCAGAGAGAAGACTGGAAAATTACCTGAGATAATGTGTTATTAAAGCAGTCTGAAATCAGAGTAGCAAACTAGGAAAGTGTAAGGTATTACTGTGAGCTCCACGAAGGTGGGGCCTTTATCCTGTTCCCTTCTGTGTCTCTAGAACCTAGAAATGCCCGGCATGCAGTGGGTGCTCAATACATGTTGGTTAAATAACAGAACAAATGAGTGAATGAAAGTGATCAGATTACACGTACTCACAGCTATGAAATCTGAGCCACACTATTATACAGGGGACAAGGAATTTTTTAAAAAAGGAGTAATTGCTCCAGGTGAGTTGTTCACATCAATTGTTTTCAAACTGCTGCCAGCCTTCGCCCTTAGCTGCTTCTCCTCATTAAGGAAGCAGCTTTGAAGTAAACACACCTTTGCATATACATCAAGGCATCACGGCACTTGTTCTTGCAAGCTAAACCATCTGCTTAATTCATCTAGGCAGCCAACGGTCAGCAGCCAAACCCAGTTTAGCCTCTGTACAGCCCGCTTCCAAACCGAAGGATTGAGACTGAGTCACACTTACAAAAGCCCCCAAAGATTGGACGATACATGGAAAATACCAATGATTTAATGATTCTTATGCTTTCTTGAGGATTAAATACTGATAATTTAGACTTTATCAAAACTTTCTGCATTTAGAAACAGATGGCAGTTCCTGTTGAAGCGCTTCGAAAAACTCAGATGTGTGGAGACTTTAAGACTTCATGTTTACAGCAGTCCCCCCTTAGCTGCGGAGGAACCTTCCAAGACCCCCAGTGGATGCTGAAAGCACGCACAGTACCAAACCCTATAGAGACTATGCTTTTCCTAACTTAACAGGCCAACGAGTGGGTGGTGACTACAGTGTAGACATACTGGACAAAGCGGTGATTCACATCCCAGGCAGGATGGAGCAGGACAGCGTGAGATTTCATCAAGCTACTCAGAACGGGGCACAATTTAAAACACACCAATTGTTTATTTCTGTAATTTTCTATTTAATATTTTCAGACCGCAGTTGACTGCAGGCAACTGAAACCACGGAAAGCAAAACTGCGGATAAGGGGGGACCACTGTATTAATTCAAAACTGATATGAAACTATTCCCTGCCATATTTTCTAATTTATGAATTTCATTTAAGAAATCTGGCCTGAATACATGTTGTAATTTATTAAACATCCACCTCCTAACAGACATATTTCATTTGTAATATTTATTATTACAAATACTCTGAAGGGCAGATAGTTCACAGATGAGAAAATTAAAGCTCAGAGGTCTCAAGTAACTTGCCCAAGGTTATCTACACACTAATTTACAGAGCTGCAGTTTGAACACAGATTTTCCTGATTCCAAGGCCTATATTCTTTCCTCTATACCATGGTGCCTCCTAAAATCTTTTACCAACTCTAACACCAAATCATCAAATGGAAAGCAAGCAGACACTGAGAGACAAAACCAACAGCCTGCTGTCTCACCTCCGGTGGTTCATTTCTGCATCGCTGGCTGCATTCTTCCCAGGACCCCAGCTGTGCCTCCGGAAAGGGGACAGAGAGCGCATGGAGCTCCTCAGGACAGAGCAGTTGGCAGGCACTTCGGTGATGCTGTCCATCTCCTCCTCTTCCATTTCACCGGAGCCAGCAGGTTCGCTCTCACTCTCTCGACCCTCAGCTCCCACCCCATGGCCGTGGGAGCCATCAAGGCACTGCTGATCTCTGGACCTGCTCAAGTGTGAGATCTGGGGCAGGGATACGTCACTGCCATGGGAAGAGTGTCGATCCAAGGAAGCTGTGTCATCAGTGGAAGAGCTGGATCCAGTGATATCACAGCCCAACTGTTCCTCCTCGGGCTGTAATGGAGAGAAAGCGCGTATGGGTGAAAAGGGCAGGACCACGCAGACAGCCTCAGTCACTCTCGACAGAGCCAATGGCTTCATAGTGGGTTGACGGGCAAGGTCACAACTGGCTTCCAACAAACGGACACTTCTGTCTTAAAGCGTGACTGCAGCTGGATTCAAACAGCCTCCAGTAACGGTACAGGTCTAGCTCTAGGCTCTCTCCACTCTGTTATGAGAGCGACTGGACTACAAGCACATAATTTTTCCTTTCTTAAAGAGGGAAAGAAACCTAACTCAGGTTAGTTCTTTCAGTCAACACCATCAACTGAAACAAAGGAAACCCATGTGTCTCTGGGTTTCTGCTGTATGAAAACTCTAAATTCATATCATATTAGGTTTAATTTTTCTCGCAGGTCTCAACTAAAAACAAGGTAGTCTGCTTGGCTGCAATAATGATGTGCTGAAGTTAATATTCCAAAAGCAAGTCTGCGATTGTTTTCAGTGGCCTTTTGAAAAATGCAGAATAGCTTATAATCCCACCTAAAGCTGCCACGAATGCCAAAATTCTGGCCACAAAGACCTAAATGGAAGAAATCTATTCCCTTTTGCTCATTTCACTGAGAACTGGCTGAGTGTTATCAAGCCAAACTGTACCTAAGATAATCAGTCCTGGTAATGGAATCTCTAAGAAAGTGTTTATGCTCTTTCCCCAGCCGGCCTCTAGAGCCTAAGAGGAATTGTGCAATTTTGATCCCAGTAGGCTGACATTCTCTACTTGCCCAAAGACACCAGCACACATAATTTGATGGGTGAGGGAAAGATGAGCTTCATGGCGTCCAAAGATTTGTAAAAGCATCTGAAAGATGACGGTCACTCTTTGTTACAGATGTGGGCACTGTCCTGTCCTCGCATTCTTATAGGACACGGAGCAGGGAAGAGGGAAAGGCATTCCGTGATTATTTTCCTTCTTCACAGTATTTTTCTAAGCCAGTCACCTCGAAGTTTTAATTAAGAGTGAAGAAACTTACAGTTCTTGGAGAAAGATTTTAAAAATGATGAGAACTAACGAGCCCTTTTAGCTTTGGAAGAGTAAACAAGTCCTCTATTAGGAAAGCCTCTTCAACAGTTTAACATAACACTTAAAAGCATTCTTTATAGCTTTGGGGCTGGATCTCACCAGCTCCTGAGTTTGGTTTTTATTTCCCCCTGTAGAATCCAGTTTCCTAAGTTAATTGCTCTTTAAACGATGCATATGGGATGAGGCTGAGAGTGTCAGAAGATGCGAGGGGCTCACTGGACAGCGCGGACTCTGAGGTCCAGACTGTCTAACGGGCTCTCCCAAGTACATCGGCCATGAGCGCCAGAAGCAAGATTTGAACCCGGGTTCGTTTCAACTAAAACTGCCCTGTTCCATTATCTTCATTAGCTGTAAAAAACCCTGTAAGGACAAGATCTCAAAGACAGTATCGGAGAAGTCCTCGGTGTTTCCTTAGCCGCTCTAAAACAAAACTATGCTTTACCAAGGACGTTTTAAAATAGGGTAGGTATATTTTGAAATAAAATTATCGACTATTCTTAAGTTAATGAAGATGGACCTGGGCATCCTAAAGAGTTTCTATTCCTGGGCCCACTCTCCACAGAGACGGAAAATGTAAATGTTCCTGAATCCCAACTTTAGAAGACAAGTTTAGGATGTCAGCTGTCTCACTGTACTGGGGTGAATACTGTCCTCCTCAAATTCAGGTCCTGCTCAGAATGTGACCTGATTTGGAAATTGGGTCTTTGCAAATGTAATTAGTTAAGACGAGGTCATACTACAGCAGGGTGGTCCCTAAACCCAATAGGAGCGGTGTCTCACACTATGAGGAGAAGAGACACTCCTCTCAGGGCAGAACGTCATGTGAAGATGGAGGGAGAGACTGGAGTGACATACTGACAATCCTAGGAAAGCCAAGGACTGCCGGCAAGTACCAGAAACTGGGAGTGACAGAGGGAAGAGGGCCCCCTCAGAGCCTCCAGAAGGAAAGCAGCCCCTTGGCACACTGACTTTAGGACCTCTGGCTTCCAGAACTGTGAGAAAATAAATTTACATTATTTCAAGTCACCAAATCTGTGGTGACAGGTCACAGCGGCCCTAGAAAACTAGGACACTCACCCTTAATAGATCTGATTTACATGAAGTCAAAGCCAGGGTTTTTTTTTTTTTTTTTTTTTTTTTAAAGATTTTATTTTTTCCTTTTTCTCCCCAAAGCCCCCCGGTACATAGTTGTGTATTCTTCGTTGTGGGTTCTTCTAGTTGTGGCATGTGGGACGCTGCCTCAGCGTGGTCTGATGAGCAGTGCCATGTCCGCGCCCAGGATTCGAACTAACGAAACACTGGGCCGCCTGCAGCGGAGCGCGCGAACTTAACCACTCGGCCACGGGGCCAGCCCCCAAAGCCAGGGTTTTAAAATGTATAAGTGCAACTGATGCCATGGTACCATTCCTCCAGACAATCAGGAGAAACAACCCAAGCCCCTGAAAGTCATTTTATATATTTAAGAAACATACTACGCACGTGTATCTATGTAAGTATGTATCCAGATGGCCAAAACATCACTTTCCGCTAAACACAAGATTTTTTTTCTTCAGATGCAGTATTAGGATGTGGTGAGGGCAGAGAAGCAGAAGAGACATAGCAAGGCAGAATTGGCAAGAAGGGGCGGGTGGGAGTGGAGTATGCACCTGAGAAGGCTAGCACACTGGGAGACTGAGACCGAACCTGCGCCTGAGACTGACACAGCATCCTTCCTCCCTGGGGTTTTCATAACTGGTTCTCCTCCTGCATACGGCAGCATGGGAACACACACAAAAATATTATTTCTACCATTAGCTTCTGCTTCCTGAGGGCTCATGTAATCTTGAAAATCTGCAATGCTTGTCAGGCTACCAAAAATCCCTAGGAGTCAGAGAGAATGCTCGCAAAGAACAGGCCCCCAAGCAACACAAAGGTGTGAGTGTGGCTGCTCTTTACAAGCACCAGCCTTAAGGGACGGCTGTAACTTCAGGGCCAGGGCTGAGCAGATGGAGTGACCCAAGGATACTGTTTTGTTTAATTTCAGGTCAAATAAAGTAGAGAGACTGCAATTACAAAATAATTACATCCCTAAAAGTGAATGAAAAAGTCAAATTAAACGATGATGCTGTCTATACAAAGCTTGTTAAACTATTACTTAAATAGACATGCAATATAACTATTATATAAATCTCAGTAGTAATTATTTACTGGATTATCACTACATGTGGGGATGTACTAAGTGATTTAGATGTATTATTTCTTTTAATCCTCACAACTATTCAACTTAGTAGGTATTCTTATTCCCATTTTACAGATGAGAAAACTGAGGCTCAAAGAGGTTACATAATAAACTCAAGATTCTAATTTAACTGGTCTGGGGTAAGGCTCAGGCTTTTTTTTCTTCTTCTTCTTTTAGCTCTTTTAGATTCTAGGTAGAGCTAGGATTAGACCCCATTGCTATAAACTACAGAGCTCTTTTTAAAGGGTTTGAAAGAAAACTGAGATGGATCCTAGTCCTAAATGTAAAAGCTAAAACTGTAAGTTTTCTACAAAAAAACATCGTGACTGGGGGCAGACAAATCAATAACAGGACAAGACATAGGTGGCAACAGCCATAAAAAATTGGTAAATTACACTCCATCAAAGTTTAAAAACTTCAGACACCATCATGAAAGCGAATAGGCAAGCTAGAGACTGGGAGAAAGTATTTGCAAAACAGAACTATAACAAATGACTGGTACCCAGGCTATATAGATAACTCTTACGTCTCAACAACAAAAAGACAATCTATTTTTTTATATGAGCAAAAGCTTTGAACAGACACTCCTTAAAGGAAGATATACAAGTAGCCGATAAACATAGGAAAATGTCTTTAACATCATCCTTAGCCATCAAGGAAATAGAAATCAAAATCCATAATGAGATATCATGACATGCACACCAGAAATGCTAAAATTAAAACAAAACAATCACACACATTGGTAAGGACACAGAGCAACTAGAATTCTCATACATTGCTGGTGAGCAGGTAAAATGGTACAACCACTTTGGAAAAAGGTCTGGCCATTTCTTATAATACTAAACCTACACCTTACCACATGATCTAGCAATTCCATTCCTAGATATTTACTCAAGAGAAATGATAATATTTCTATCCCATTTATATGAAGTTCTGAAAGAGGGAAAATCAATCTGTGGTGGAAAAAAGAATGAGAACAGTTGTTGTCTCTGGGGGGTTGGAGAGGAAACAGGCTGGGAAGGGGCATGAAGAAACATCCCAAAATAGCGATAACCGTCTATATCCTCCTGGGGGCTTGCGTTACAAAGAATGAAAGCATTTATTAAAAGTCACAGAGGTACAGCCAGTACAGAAAACAGTATGGAGGTTTCTTAAAAAATTAAAAGTAGAACTACCATATATGACTCAGGATTCCTACTTCTGGGAATACATCCAAAGGAGATAAAGTCACTGTCTTGAGATCTCAGCACTCCCATGTTCATATAGCAACATTATTTGCAGTAGCCCAGATACGGAAACTTATCCTAAGTATTCATCGACAGATGAATGGATAGAGAAAATATTCAGCCTTAAAAAAGAAGGAAATCATACCATTTGTGACAACACGAATGGACCTTGAGGGCATCATGCTGACTGAAATGAGCAAGACAAAGAAAGACAAATATGCATGATCTAACTTATACAAGGAATCTAAAAATGTCAAACTCATAGTAACTGAGTAGGATGGTGGTTACCAGGGGCTGGAGGGGTGGAGGAAATGGGGAGATGTTAGTCAATGGGAATAAACTTCCAGTTATGAGATGAATAAGTTCTGGAGAACTACTGTATAGCATGGTGACTACAGTTAATAATAATATATTATATACCTGAAATTTACTAAGAGAGTAGATCTCAAGTGTTCTCACCACACAGACAAAAATGGTGACTATGTGAGGTGACAGCTCTGTTAATTAGTCTGATTATGGTAATCATTTCACAATGTATACGTATTTCAAAACATCATGTTGTACACTTTGAATATATACAATTTTTATTTGTTAATTATGCCTCAATAAAGCTGGGGGGGGAATCAGTGAATGGTACCTTGAGACTGTGCATTTCATTGTATATAAATTTTACAAAAAATAAAACCCCAAACCCTATACACAAACACTGAATTCTAAGTGTTCAGGGGTAAAGTGTATTGATATCAATAACTTATTTTGTAATGCATCAAAGAAATCAGATGCACTGGAGGGTGGATAGAAGGACAGACAGAAACACAGTTACGTAAGAGAGCAAATACAATAAAAAGTTAACTGTAGAATCTAGGTATTGGGTGTTCACTGCACATTTCTGCCAACTCTTCTGTATGTTTCAGAATTTTCTTAATAAAATGTTGAGGAAAAATGCCTGCTTGGCTTCCCTGACCAGAGCTACACTATATGGGAATGACGTATGTGTGTGGAGAGAGTTGTAAACATCACACACACTTTCATTCATAGAAATACAAAAACAGCTACCCACTTTGTATCTTATTGCTACACCTGAAGGCATCATGCCAAAATACTTTAATTTTCATTCATTTATTCATCAAATATTTGTTATTATCTATTACATTATATATATGACACTGTGCTATGTGCCTTGGAAAATAACAGCTCATGTTTTAAGCACCTAATATATGCCAATTCCTTAATCCATTTATGTGGAATATTTTTTCTAAGAATCTTCAGTATCTGATAGCAAGCATTATCCCTGTTTCACACTTCTGAAATTTAGTAATTTCAATACTTGCGCATAAGCAATTAGAGTTTTTCTAATTTGGATTCAGTGAATATATTTATCTTATCCCTAATAGGTTAAAAAATAAAAGGTAATTTTTCGGCTTGGTGATCACGTACTTGCGAGGAAACTACAGCATGTGGAAGAGAGAATACTACCTAAGGTTCAGCATCTTACAGGAGTCACTTTGTTTTTTTCTACATCAATTGTGGATTTGTCTTATAACTTGGAGAAAAAACAAGGAGTAAGTGCTCTGATTTTTCTCTCTTTGGGAAAAAAGGCAGAAACTCACTATTTTCTGTGGACTTCAATTATCCTTTTGGATAACATGGCAGCCTAGATCATCTGTTTTACAATTGTACTTCCCCTCTTAGCTAGTGCCAAAAAGAATCTTAAGATTTCTTCTCACTTTAAAAGCAAAATCTAAATTTTATGCTGTTGATCTAAAAAAGAAAGACCTTAGCAATCAGCAAATATTCCTACGAAGAAGCATGAAGCTCGTAACACTCACCAAAGAGTCCTATTTACCAGGAGGCATACTGAATGGAAATGTAAGGTTAAGGCGAGGACTTTGTGACAAACATGGCAGGCCGTTAGAGACCTCTGTAGGGCCAGAGTCACACTCATGGCTGCAGGAAATGACCTAATGCACCACTCATGGTTCGCAGAAAAGGATGTTGCAATGCCTTGTCTACAGATTACTTTTTCAGAGAAGGGAGGAGAGGAGGGTTAGAGCCTGGGGAAAAAGTCTGGGCCAGCCTGATGTTCTGCAGCACACGCTGCGTGGATGACAACCAAGGAAGACTTTTAAGGAAGTCGCCGATGGCCTGTCTGCCACGGCCATGCTTCTATATAAATCACTGCCTGTTAAACTGTCTGCAGACTGAGAGCAAAACAACAGAAAATGAGATTTTAAAGTCAGGTCTAGGCTCACATCTCAATTCTGTCACTTATCAGCTGAGTAATTCTGAGTAATCACCTTTACCAGCCAGAGTCTCCAGCTCCTCAGGAGTACAAAAAGGATAAACCCACCCACCTCGCAGGGTTGCTGGGAGCGCGACATGAGAGCATACATGTAAAAAGTTCAGTTCAGTGCCTCACGAATGACAAGCATGTTGTCAATATCAGTCTGCGTCTGCCCTCTCCTATGCTATGTAAACCCTTGGGTGTATTAACGCTAGTGAAACATTCACTGCAGAACCTCTCCTGCTCACAAACAGCTTTGGGAGAGTGGCAGTAGTAAGTGGAAGAGCCCTCCTCATCTGGTCCTAAGCTACCCGACACCCTCGCATACACACGAAGAGGGGAATACGCACCCACCACGTCTGCTTTCTCCGAGGAACCCGGCTATGAAATGTGGCTGAAAGTTAATGGGGGAGTACGCTTCAACTTCTAAAACCTGTACCTGTCTAGTCATCATGAAAAAGAGGCTAAATATACACGGGCCTTTTGTCTGAACTGCCTCCTAAGTGCCTTTGGCAGTTTGAATAAGAAGACAGAATACAGGAAATTCTACCCCTACTTAGCTGGGAAAACCGCTCAAGTAGCGACCGGGAGTAACCACCATTCTGCAGAGATGGTAACATCCAGGGACACGCTGTCATGTACTAGGAGGTGGCAAGCAAGTACTAAAGACTAACTTAAGGAAGACTTCTCAACTTTTTTTCCCCCACAAAACTTAGTGCCTGAAGGCATGAAGACTTTTCAATTTTTAAAATAACTTTTTCCTATGAAAAAGTTCAAACATACATAAATGTTTAACAAATCCCCATGTATTCACGACCCAGTTTCAGTGGTTATCAATGATTCAATTTTAAGGCTGGAGCTTCAAGATAAGATCTAATCTATTTATCTCAGACAAAAACAGGGATTTTTAGAGACATGCACCTTCAGAATGGTATTCCCCTGGGGTAGGGGACACTTTAGAAGTCCTTACAATGAAAACCTCAACATCATAGTGGGAATTACCCAAATTCTGTTATTTTTTTAAGATACCATACTGGCTTCCCTCTCTTTAAATAACTTCAGAGAGGAAGAGATCTTCCCAGCGTGTGGATTTTCACTTTACAGGATGCCCTGAGTCAACCGCCTATGAGTAAGGACAGGAATCCTGACGTTCCATGAATTTTTCCATGGACCTCTGGAAGACAGTCAACAGAAGGACAAGGAACAAGGTGGCAAAGGGTCAGCAAAGGCCAAACGGGCACATGAGAGCCGCTGGACAGAAACGAAACCAAAGCGCTGGAGGTATGTTCACAGGGGCTTAACTATGCCCCAGACCAGAATCCCAGAACGGTAAGCGTCCCCTCCTAGCAGAGCCTTTAAACACAGCATCATCGCACTGTCTCGGAGAACTGTTCACCACTGACACGACTGACTGCTCCCACCACTTCTGACCCTCAGAAAGGTACCATCACGGCTGCCAGCGTGCTTCTGCCCCTTTACCCTCGCGCTGTTAAGACAACCACTTGCAGCGCTTAAGTGACAACTCTTATTCGCTGCTCCTGCTGTGGGAAAGCCCTCTCTTAGGAGACACAGCAGAACTTGCTGCAACCAGACACAAACAGAAGCAAGAGAAGGCAAAGCATCCCACACCCCCAGCCCCTAGAGAGCCTCAAATTATATGACAACACAAGGTGATTCATGCGGATGGGCTTGCCTTTTCACCAGGGAGAAAGCCTGGGTTCCCTGGCAGAGATCTAGAAAGTTCCAATTAGGCAGGCTAGATGAGGAAGGGTGATATCAACAAGCTCGGCAGTGAGCTTCAGGCCTAAACACATTATTCAAAAATGACTCTGTGGTTAGTTTATACACATGACATCACACAGTCTGAGCTGCGGTCCCTTCCTGCCCACTGAAAAGCATTCACCATCATCTGAATTAAGTCGCCCCAAAGGAACGTCCATTTCTTTAGGCTTCAATGTGAGCTTCCTAACCTGCATGTAACCAGCCATGATTCTACGGAAAATAAAGTGGCCAATGCCTTTTCTAAGCCCCCAGCAACCTGGAGCTTCCTTCTCCAAAAGGGAACTTTTACACTTCTCCGAGATCATATAAGAACTGGAATGAAGCCCTGCAAGCCTAGCAGGATCACAACTTACTGGCAGGAGTCACGTACTGAGCCAAACAGTACCTTCGAGAAGATGATGCTGTCCACTTCTTCACTGGGTGAGTGGAAGAGGTCAGAATCACTCCCGGATTGTCTTTTAAGGACATCTTGTTTTGAGGCACAATCTCTGCCCAGCCCAACATCCAGGAAGTTCTCACATTCTGAAAAAAAAATTTATTCAACCAATACTTAAAAAAAAATTCAGTTTCTTTCCATTCCAGCAAGCAGCCTTTTAAATCACCAACTAACCTCCCTTCCCCACTCCTTTCCCTCATTAAGAAGCTGTAAAGGACGCAGTCAAATTAGTAGCTTTCAGCTCTGGTGCTCCAACTCTAGGTTGACACAGTTATTACAGTACAATCAGGACTTTGCCATGTAAACCATAGGGACAAGAAGATAAAAATGATGATGTAAAGGCATAATTCCACATAAATCCCACCATTTAGGTATTTAAATGGGAATCTTTTTCTCCTGGTAGTTAGAGAATTTTTTTCTTTTGCTACCAAAATCAGAAGTCCTTACTAGGAAAGTATGTGATAGGGTTTGTGGATAATTTCTGTTTTGAGATTTAAGTTCTTTCTGGAAACGTGTTACTTTATCAAAATACTGGGACAAAAGACAAAGGGGAGCATAGCTAATAAATGTATCAGTGTGTTAAACTTACTGGCTCTGCTGAGTAATAACAGCAATATAATTACTTAACTTCTCCTACCTTAACCAGATCTGACATCGGGGGAATACTGTACTTGAAGAGAAAAAAAGTATTATCTAGAATCTGTTTTCAGTTCAATAACTAGGATAGGGACTCTGGTGAACCAGATGGAAGTGGCCTTGACGAAATATTACATTGGCACATGAAGGAATTCCAGAGACTTAGTATATTAAAATGAGCAAGGTATTTAATCCATTCTCTCCTATTAACTTTGTAAACAAAAGGGACATGTGACCTGGTAGCAAGAGAGTTAAAAATACTTGCACATGATAAAACCAAGAACCCAAAGAAGTCAATTAGTAGGTAGACATCAACCTCCTTCTAGAAGTTTTGAAGGTAAGAGTGAAGCATCTCCACTCTTGTCAGCATTTTTATGTGTGATTTAGACACACATACATGTGTGCTCATGAAATCTGCAGGTGACACTAAGTGATGAGGGACAGAGTGGATAACCTGGCTCCCTAGCAGTTCAAGAGGCCTCTACCTGGAGCTTTTGGCTGAAAGCACATTCAGGAGGAGCTGATAGTACAAAGTGATGGCAAAACAAAAAAGACACTAATAGTTTTAGGCTCTATTAACAGACAGTGTACCCAAATCCAAAATGGGGACGGTCTTGCCACTATATGCCAGCTAGATCGCACCCACAGGATTGCTTGTTCCTAGATAACGTTTAAATTAAAACACCAATAAACAAAAATGCATGCGTGGTAATGAGGTCACAAGAGAAGAAACACTTGAGATAGATGCAGCTTCAAGATGAGCTTGAAGACTGCGTCTGAGGACAGCTGCAGATGTGCTCTGTGCTGTCCAGAGGCAGACAAAGCCCACTGAGTGGAGGCCACAGAGCCACACCGTAACTGGGCTCTGGGCAATGGGCTGGCAGCCTCATAAAGTAACGAGTGTCACCTCCCCAGACAGGCAGAAGCAAAGGCTGGATGACTGCATCAAGAAGCTTCAGAAGAGATGTCTACACGGATGGGGAAGTGGAAATTGAACTCGATAACCCCCAGTGTCTCTTTTAATTCTCAAAGTCTATGCTGGGACAATAACTATACGTGTGTGAACATAAGCGTGGAGAGATAATCAGAAGAGGAAGCTGCTCTTATCTAAATTAACTAGTAACTGATCATTAATAAATTATTTGCTCTGGACTAGCCAGGAATCTTAGAGGAAGGGTTGGAAAGGCACAGCACTGGTATAGGTCACGAACTGCTTGTCAATGACATTACCTTCTCTATTGGTTAGACATCTGAGTAGGTCTGGGGACAGATCCAAATAAAAAGAGACGTTTAGTGTTCGTGTGCGTGCAGGGGGCAGTTTACAATCTCGTAGCAGAAATGAGGATTTTAAGAGAGAATTCCAACACAGAAGTACACAGATGCCACAGGAAGTGAGGCAGGGCCCACAGATTAATACAAAATGTTTCAGTTAAAGAAAAATAAAGAAATTAGTCCATTTCATTCTTGGTCCAAAGTATTTCTGAGCATATTAGTAGTTCAATGGGAATAGCCCTGCCTTTAAAAGACTGGAAATCATGGGTATTCTGGAGGGTTTTTTTCACATTTCAGAGTATGCACTAACTTAGGTGGAGTTGGTGGGTGTGATCTTTCTACTTCTTCCCCTTTCCCCACTTGGAAAAATCAAAAACTCCATTCTGTGGTTGAGGGGAAAATCGGGGGGCTAGCCAAGAAAAGAAAGGGCTGTCACAGCAACTATGCTGAGCTGCTGGCTGTCCAGCTGGCAGTCTAACAGACCACGTCCAAATTCCAGACTGGAAAACAAACCAGCTCAAGACATTCTAATGGAAAATTCACAGGGCAGATCCAGCTCCAGCCCTGGGAGGAATACCTCACCCAGAAAATAAACCCAAGCCAGCACTACAAGGGACCCGAAACCAAGTTTGGGAAAAGAGTCTGCTGTGTGATATAATGTTGATTGTTGAGTTAAGGAGGAGGGAAGAGTAAAACCAAGGAGAAAGGGAGAGCAATGGAGCTGATGCCTTTCTGGAACCCCCACAGATGGGGGGGCCCTAGAGGCAAAACTAATTACACTTTACATCACATGTTGGTACATTTTCAAAGTGAATGAAATCTTCCTTTCTTCCTACGTGGCCCCTTACTGATGAATAACGCCGAGCAGCACACGAAAGCATAAAAAGAACAACGAGTGCTGGTCTCAGGGCTGGACTCTGGCTTAAATCTAGGTCTGACTACTTATTAGCAGAAAGAGCCCAGGCAAGAAGTAAGTTAACCCCTCTAAGTCTTCACTTCCACACCAGTGAAATGGGATGATTAGCACCTCCCTAAACTAGTTGTAGTGACAGTTACAAACGATTTATACATGGAGTAACCAGGACTCCGTGCCTCAGCACACAGCAGGCGTTTGAGAAAAACATGATGGCTTCATTAACCCATGGTGTGTGATTCCACAAGCATCCCACCGTAAGGATATTACCTGAGGTGGGCCAGTGCCATTTTATGACCCATATATAAATCTGTCTCTAACTTTTGGGCCCTGAGCCATTAGTGCTTTAAAAGCAAGAAAAATGTGTATTTTTTAAGGCTCTGTCTGGTCATGTGGGTTTAAAATTACATACATGCAACAAATTATAGTTGACGAAGGAGAGGAACATACCAACAGCACCCACTAGGCTTTGCTGAACCATGCTAATCATAATGCTATCTCATATTTATCCAGAATTAAAGAATATACAAAGTGATTCTAAAAGATAGTATCTTATTTAGTCTAACATGATTGCTCTCTTGAGCTGTGTTTATAAAGCAAAAGAAAGAAACTTGCAAGACTGAAAGTACCTAGAATTCACAAAAACATTATGCCTAAAATTGAAATCTTAGGTCTGAAGTACAGAACCATAATCCAGAGCTTGGATTTTGTTAAATTAAGGTTTAAAAAGAATCACTCTAGGGGGCTGGCCCCATGGTGTAGTGCTTAAGTTTGGTGTGCTCTGCTTCAGGGGCCTGAGTTTGTGGATTTGGATCCTAGGCACAGACCTACACCACTTATCAGCCATGCCATGGCAGCGACCCACATATAAAGTGGAGAAAGATTTGCACAGATGTTAGCTCAGGGCAAATCTTCCTCAGCAAAAAAAGAAAGAAAGAATCACTCTAAAAAGACCAAAGCAGTTACATTTGGGGTTGGAGTATGGAAGGAACCAACAAAATTCAAGATTATGTCCTGGGGAAAATGCTCAGGGGTTCAAAAGTCATTTCTTTAAATGAGAAAAACTGCAGCATGTGGAGAAACTTTGTGTAAATATCCAAATTGTGAAGCAACCTCATTTAACCTTTACATGCCAGACAGTTTCACTTCTTAGGTGGTTGGGGGTAATTACACTTTTAGGAAAAACTCCAAACAGTTTAAGGAACCAAAACATAGTAGGGAGTATACTTTTAAGTAGAAGATTCTAGGGGGCTGGATGGGGGAAGTGTCAGATAAATCTGTGAACAGAGTCAATCCTGTAATACGCGGAGACCCTAAACAAAACTATAGCATAACAATATCCTTTAACCTCTTTCTCCATGTGAGACAAAAATGGAGAAAAACATTTTCAGATCTGTTTCCAATGCTTCCTTTGGAGTAAAGTCAGTTGAGAATCAGTAGGAAAGCTCTCTGGAGATAAAGGATTTAACAATCTGTCTTTAAATTTAATACTACTGCAGGACATCCACTGCTAAACTGTTTCTAAAGAGCAGCAAATGATGCCCCACTCATCTTTAAAGCAGGTCGGTAAAAACTGGGAGGGTAAACAGAGGTGGTGTTGGGTAAAGTAGGCCAGAATGCAAATTACCGGGGTCCACACAGCAGCTGCAAGAATGGGCACAGGGACGGACAGTTACCCACCATGTCAGACAGCAGCACCCCCCCCCCCACCCCGAGGAAATGCAGCCATGCCTTAGAGATGGACGACAAGAGCCCACAGACATCAGAGAACACCCCTTACGTCACAGTGAATTAGTGGCTAAACCTGGGTAAAAAGCTGGGCCTCCTAACTAACCACAAGTCAGGTGCTGTGTCATTAACAAGCAAAGTCTTGAGAGCATTTGACCCTCACCTGTTGTTACCAATACCTCAGGGGGGCTTAAGGAAAGACTCAATTGCTGACAATTCTTGCAAAGTTTATGGTTCTCAACTCAATCTTGGCTACACAGTAGACTAACCAAAGGAGCTTTTAAAGATTCTAAGGCCCAGGCCACACCCCAGCCCAATTAAATCAGAATCTCTGGGGGTCAGACCCAGGCATCGGTATATTTTTAAAGCTCCCCAGATAATTTCAACGTGCAGCCAAATGGAGAGGCACAGGTTTCATGCTTAATAATATATATTTATAGTTTTGCCAGATTAAGAAACCTTTATCATATCTATATGCACAGCACACATGCCTTCACAGACGACTTAACAGATCATAAAGCCACACTGAAGACTACTAAAATGAAATTGAGGTAATTACATATATGTGCTCATTTTCAATTGTGAGACAAAATGCCTCCAAACCCAAATCACACAGACACCCCTTTCTCTGATTTACTGCACAACACGCCAGGGAAGGAGATTTCCAGTCAAATGATCTGCTGTTAGAGTGGGACTGTGTCTCCAGGAAATGGACAGTTTGGGTCAGTTCTTCAAGCTGACTGGGAGCTGGGAAACCTGCTTACCCGGGCTCCGTGCAGGAGCCAAGAGAGACGCTGCATCAGGGCACGGCTCTATGGCACACCAGCTTTCTCGGTTTATCTGAAGGAAAAGAACACAGACTGCGTTTCAGACAGTGGAGTAATATGGGATGATTTTATGGCAGTTGCAAGTCTATCTACTATATCAACACTCCTATCTTTTTCTTTAATACTTGACTCCAAAGTGGGTAAAATTACGTCAAGAAAAAAACCTTTTCAGAATACAGTCAAGGCAATCTACACTGCCAACAAAAGTTGGGCATATGAAAGCAAAAGGAAAAAAGACAAAGAGGAAGACCATGGTGCAGGCCAAAGGTGAAATAAAAAAAAAAGAAGTTAACAGCTGAAATGGATCAAATATTAAAACATATATTTGATATCTTGGTTTGTAAGTTTAAAAAAATACAAAAATAACTCCTATTTATTCAAGAATTACTATATGCTGGGTATCAGGGTAAGAATTCTATGCATATTATCTCATTTAATTCCCACAATAGCTATAAGAAGTCTGCATTATCTCTACCCAGAGAATAACCAGCCTCAGAGGGGCTGCTAAGGTAATAAGTGTCAGGACTACCAATGGGATACAAGTCTATGTGATTCTAAAGCATCCTAAGAAGCAAATATATCTTCCTAAAATAAATTTTTTAAAAATTTAGCCTTTACAACTCCCAAGCATCTTAACATCATAACCTTCTACTTTCATTAAATTTAAAATAATATAATTTTTAAAATTACCATTAGAGATTTCAACAGTCCTCTCTGATAAAATAAGTAGACACAAAATCAGTAAGGATACAGAAAACTTGGAAAACATTACTAACCAATTTGATCTAACCAACACATACAGCACACTTCACCCAAGAGCAGCAGAGCACACACTCTTTTCAAGAGCACATGGAACTGTGGCAGAAAAAACGTCTCAAATTTGAGATAAAAGTCATACTAAGTGTGCTCTTTTACCACAACAATACCAAATTAGAAACCAAAACCAAAAAGGTATCTGGAAAAACCCCACATATTAAAATTTTTTTAATTCTAAAAATATCAACGAATCAAAGAGGAAATCTTAAGGAAGCATTAGATATTAGTTAAATACCAGAGAATATTTTGAACTGAATAAAAACAAAAACTCCACATGTAAAGATTTGTGAGATACAGCTAAAACAGTGCTTAGAGCAAACTTTATAACATTAAGTACCTGTATTAGAAAAGAAAGGTCTCAAATCAATGATCTAGACCTCCACCTTAAGAACTTAGAAAGAGAGCAATTAACCCAAAGCAAATAGGATAAAGAAAACAAAGAGCAGAAATCAATGAAATAAAAAAAACCCAGGAAAACAATAATATCAATAAAACCAAAAGCTGGTTCCTTGAAAAGATCCATGATACCAATAAAACTCTAGCTAGACTGATCAAGAACAAAAGTTACAAATTACCAGTATCAGGAATTAAAGAAGGACATCATTACAAATCCTGTGGACACTGAAAGCATAATAAAGGAATATTATGAACAATTTCACTGCAATAAATTCAACAAGGTAAATGAAATGGAAACATTGCATGAAAGACACAAACTACTAAAATTCACTCAAGAAGATACAGATAATCTGAACACCCTTATTCTATTAAAGACACTGAAGTCATAGTTTAAAATCTTCCTATAAGGAAAACTCCAGGCCTAAATGGCTTCAGTGGTGAACACCATCAAACTTTTAAGGAAGAAATAATACCAATTCTACACAAACTCTTATAGAAAACTGAAGATGAGAGAATGATATCCAGTTCATTTTATGAGCCCAGCATTACCCTGACACCAAAACTAGAAAGAAGCATAAGAAAACTCTAAATCAATATCCCTCAGGAACATAAATGCAAAAATCCTGAACAAAATTTTAGGAAACTGAATCCATCAATATAAAAAAGGATAAACTTATCATTACCAAGTTCATCCCAGGAATGCAAGGGTGGTTTAACACTCGAAAAATCAACTTATGAGCAGACCACAAAACCTCACAAACTAATGATTATCAATAGACACAAAAAATAATCTGGCAAAATTCAACATCTATTCATGATAAAACTCACGGAACACTGGGAACAAAAAGGAAATTCTGAAATGATAAAAGGCATCTATGGGAAAAAAAAGCCCTACAGTTAACATCATACTTCACTCTGAGATCAAAAACAAGGCAAGAATGTCCACTTTGATCACTTTTATTCAACATTGTACAGGAGGTTACAGCTAATGCAGTAAAGCAGAAAAAGAAATAAAATGCATAGACTTTGAAAGGAAGAAGTAAAAGTCTCTTTATTCATAGATAGCATGATTGTCTATATAGAAAATCTGAAGAAATCTATAAAAAGGCTTCTAGAATTAGTTCAGCAAAGCTGCAGGATACAAAGTCAATATACAAAAAAATCACTACTAGTTCTATATGTTAGCAATGAACAATTAAAAATTTAAAACAAAAGTAATACCATTTACAACAGCATCAAGAAATACAAAATAATCAGGCATACATTTAAGAAAATATGAGCAAGACTTATACTCTAAAAACTACAAAACTGCTGAGAAGAATTAAAACAGGCTTAAGTAAATTAGAGACAGCATGTTCATAGATGAGAAAACTCAATACTGTTAAGTTGTTAATTCTCCTCAACTAATCACTACTCGATTTCAAGACTTCCTATAAAAGCTACACTAATCAAGCCAGTGTGGTACTGATATAAAGACAGACACAGAGATGAATAGAATGAGCGAATCCGCAACCAGACCTTCACACAAATGGCCTACTGATTTTCAATAAAAATGCCAAGGTATTACAACGAGGAAAATAAAAGTCTTTTGAACAAATGATGCTGCAATAACCAGATGTCCATATGCAAACAAACAAATAAATCTCTCCGAAATCTCAAACCTCATATCTTCTTTAAAAATGAACTTAAAATATATCTAAATGTTAAAGCTAAACTACAAAAATTCTAGAAGAAAACACAGGAGAATATTTTTTTATAAGCTTGGATGAGGCAAAGACTTCTTAGCACATATAAAAAAGCATGAAAAAATTGATAAACTCGACTTGCTCCTTAGAAGGCATTGCTAGAAAAATGGAGAGGCAAAAAACAGACTGGGAGAAAACATTTACAAAACATCTATCTGCTAAAGGACTGGTATCCAGAATATTAAAATATAAATAAACAACAACAAACTCTTACAGTGCCATAATAAGATAAACAAAATGTTTCTTTAAATGGGCAAAAGACTTGAATAAACATTTCATCAAAGAAGATATATGAATGGCAAATAAGAAGAGGAAAAGATGCCCAACATCAGTAATCATCAAGAGAAAGTAAACTAAAACCACAAGGAGCTAACAGTCCACACCCATTAGAACGGCTAGAATTAAAGACTGATAATATCAAGAGTTGACAAAGATGTGGAGCAGGTGGAACACCAATACATTCCTGGGAGATACAGCAGTACAGCCACTTTAGAGAACAGCTGAGCAGTTTCCTATACTGTCAAACATACACTTACATACAACACAGCAATCCCACTGATGGGTATTTACTCAAAAAAAATCAAAACATATCTTCACACAAAGACTGTTATTGGAATTTCCACTGCAGCTTAATTCATCATAGCCCTGAACTGGAAACAGCCCAGATTGCCATTAACAGATAAATTAATAAACAAATTGTAGTTTATTCACACCACGCAGAAGACTCACAATAAGAAGGAACGAACTACTGACAGAAACAACACAGGTGAATCTCAGCAGCATTAGGCTAAGTTAGAAGAAAAAAGCCAAACAAAAAAGACTACCTACTACATTGTCCATTTATATAATATTTTAGAAAAGGCAAAACTAGTACAAAAAAGCATATTAGCGATTAACAAGGAGTGGAGGAAGACGCTGACTGCAAGGGGCCAGGAGAGAACTCTGGAAGGATGGAAATATTCCCATCATGAGAGTGGCAGTGATTACACAATTTAAACATTGGTCAAAACTCATCCAATTGTGAACTTAAAATTGGTGAATTTTATTGTATGTAAATTATATATCAATAAAGATGAAAAAAAATCCCCAAAATAGAAGTATAATCTATATTTTAGTTTTCACTACTCCCAAACACCTTAATATTGTAATCCTCTAGTCTCATTAACACTGAAATACTTAGTGGTAGTTCTAACGATATAAGTAGGAGTATCTAAACAAATCAGCAAGTCATTGAATATTTGTAATGCTCAAAGACAATTTTATTTAATGACCTCTAGAATATAGTATGTACCTACCGGTAGATTTCTGATCACTTTGGTGAGCAGACGCTAAACTATACTGATGATAAAGATCAACAGTTTTATTGAATGTACTAAGAGGGATAAGGCAGAAAGCTTCTGAGATTTTGTCCAAATACAACTGTTTTTCAAAGAAGAAATGCAAAGAATTAAACCGCTAGCAAAATAAACATGCAAACCTGGAACCATATGGAACCAAACACCAAACCACTTGCTCCTTTTAGCTATTTCACCATTACAGAGACTGAGAGGAGGCAGGACCCAGGGGCCATCAATGTTTCAATTCCTGGTGTGTTATGAAACGACATCGAAAATTTGAAAGTGGTCCTGAATGAAAAAGAATCTTTAGCAGGTTCCCTAGGAATATGCAAAACATCCTCTTCAAAATGTAATTTGAGTGTGTGCAATAGGGAACTAACCTCAAATTCAGTAACTTTAACAAATCCTACCCATATCTTTCAAAGAACTGAAACAGTACATTTTCTTAAAAAAAAAAGTTCATTCACTGAAGAGAAGGATTTTTACTGTAAACCGCATCTCACTTGAAATGAGCCAAATTTCACCTACAGTGAATACAAGTTTTTCTGCTAAAGGCAAGAGTCCAGAATTACTATTCTTCAACAGAAAACTGCATTTTGAAGTTGGAAGAGAAAAAAATTGTTTTCCTTTTTTTCCCCGAAATAGGAAGAGGCCGCATGAACACAGCAACAAATTTAAATAGTTAACAGAAACAAAAAAGCTTAGGAGATCCTTTAACA